ATTTTTCCTAAAACACCACAATTATCTTTTTTAATATTCCATCTCCCTCTTCTACTTGATTATGCTTGAGGGAGTATCCAATTATCCATAGAGATAATTTAGAGAAAATTAATAAATATGAGAAATGGGTCTTATATTTAGAACTAAAACTAACTCAAAAATTGGGTCATATATTACGGATCGGAGGAGTATTAAGTGTGACAAACAACTCCCACGATGACATTTTATTGATTTTTAATAAAATAATAAATAAAAATGTCTAGACTGTTAAAATTTGAATATATATATATATATTATATATAGCAAATCAACCCTGCAGGAGCAATGATAGCACATTAATTAAGTTTGTTTTGGTTCGATTATGAAGTCTCAATAAAAAATATATAAAAAAAGAAGTCTCATAATAACAACAATTAAGTAGTTTATAATGATAAGTTTGAATATAGAAAATGATAACATGTTGGTTATTGCTCACTTGTCATTAAAAATTTTTAATAATTAATTTTTTTTAAAATCTCACGTTAGTTATCTCTTAACTAAAATCATGAATAAGATAAATGGAGATGGAGGAATCAATTAATGAAGTCACAATCAAACGACAAAAATATTCAGGGGATGTTTGATTAGTTTTTTAAAAGTCATTTTACAAAGTTTGAAATAAGTATGTATGTGTGTATATATATATGAAGAGTTTTATCTCGATTTACATGAAAATATTTTTTTTAAAATTGCTTCTTCTGATTTCCAAACACCCCTTAAAATGAAGAGGAGAATAATAGAGAAAATTCCAACAAAAAAAAAACTTATTGAATTTCAGGATTCCAAATCAATCCTATTTGTTACACTTTAATAGCAATTTACTATACTTGAAAACAAATGATAGTAATTCTTGATTTGAGATTTTGAAATTTAAGTGATATTTTTTTGAGATTTTTCCTGGATAATATCTGATAGGAGGCAGGAGACGTGCCTAACAAATTTTTTTTTTTTTAATTTCAAATAAGCATGGGTGTTTTCTTATTATAGATATCTCTATTCAAATTATTACTAGGTAGTAAATGTCTCTTGATAAAGGGTCAAAGTTGGATTCTAGTAAGAGGCCAACTCTTTTTATTAGATTTAACCTCTTTTGGTTGCATAACAAAAGAATTTGGTAGACTTTATTTTCTTGAATTTGCGATGTATCAGACAGAAATTTTGTCACTAATTCCCCTCTCAATTTTACAGTGAATGGACACATTTTTAAAGCTTTCTGTGATTTTGTTACCTATTTTTCATATTTACAGCGTGATAATTGATAAGAGGTAAATTGCACTTGAACCCCTTCTTTCCTATTTTCAAAATCGTAAGTTATAAAATTAATTTGTAGGTTTTTGTAAATTTCACTCCTATTTTCTTAAATTTACAATTTGTTCATTTTACAAGTTTTAAATTCCACAAACACATTTTTTTTTGGCCAGGAAAACACATAAGTTTGGCTTTAAATTTTCAGCTATATTCTATCTCAAGGAAAAAAAAAGCAGTTGCAAAATACTTTCTTTCTAAAAAGTTGTAAATATAGTAAGACGAGTGGACAGTTTTTATTTCTTTTTTAAGCGGACGATTTCAAGTTCTTAAGAACAGTGATTGTATAAGCATTTAAGTACTGCCTCCGGTCATCATTAAACAACAAATTATATCTTATACTCCTCCGGTTCTTAATATAAGACCCATTTAACTAATTTGATTAAATTAAAGAAGTTAGGTACGTTAGTTAATTATAAGAAAAATGACACATTTTTCCTAAAATAATATAATCATCTTTCTTAATACCTCATCTCCCTCTTTTATTTGATTATGGTTGATGGAGTATCCATAATGGTAATTTAGAAAAAATTGATAAATATGAGAAATGGATCTTATATTTAGGACCAAAACTAACTCAAGAATTGGATCATATATTAAGGACCGGATGAGTATTTAAGATTAAAAGTAGTAATTTTTAAACTGTATCCATTTATAAAACATTCTTATGAAAACTATTCTGGTCCTTTACTAGAATCAATAACTTGTCCATTTAGATAGCGAGCACTTTTACTAGAATATATCTATACAATTTCTCCAGTAATTTACCTTCTAACTACTCTCCAATTCTAAATATAAAAACTAACAAAAAGATTTGCTTTGTTGTTAATGAGACCTTAATCTCTTTATTTTTTAAATTTATAATTATAATTTTAAAAATATTTTTCTTGATTGCACGTAATGAAACAGAAAGAAAAGCTTTCTCTGAAGTAGTAGTATCTAATGCAAATTATTCAAAAAGTGTTGTGAGAAAATCAAAACATTTTTTTATAAATAACTTATTTAATTAAATTTTTTAATGTTTGTAAATTTGTTACTTAGTACTTGTGTATAAGAAGGGTATCTTATATTTTTTTCAGCATGAAGTATCTCTTGTTATAAATGCCTTTAATTTTTACCATCTTTACGAAATAACGGTTATAATTTATAGAATAAAATACATCAACATCCTCTATTTAATTTAAATTACAGATATCTCTTTTTTATTTTGAAAACCTATATGAAGTAGGAGTGTTCATGAAGCCCAATTGCCTACAATGTCCGTCCAAGCCCGTAAAAAAAAGTCCAGCCCGCCCTAAAAAAATGACCCAAAAGAACTATTGAGCATGTTCGGGCTAGGCAAATTGTTAGGCAGGGCTAGGCATTGGGCACGGTATGCTGCCCTGCCCATTTGGCCCTGCCCGCAATAATATATATAATTTTATTTACATATATTTTATTTGCATCATATTTATTTCTTAAATCAAATATATTGTTACATTAATATTCAGTATTTATCATACTTATTTATTTTTGAATGATTTTAAGAGTTAGAAACTAGAAAAACAATTAAGTTTAATAAAATATACAAACAATATTTTTTTTTGTCATAGTTCACTTCTCCTAGCTACTACAAAAAATAGTTTCATAGTATATTAATTATTAATAACAAAATTAAGGCCAAATTGCCATTTTAATATAAAGTTACATTAGATTATTTAAAGAGATACAAATATTAGTTAATTAATGTAGTATATTGACTCGTTGGGCATGAAAACCTGTCCTGCCCAGCCCGCATTTGCCTAACCCGAACTTAATAGGGCTTTTTCATGGGTAGGGCTGGGCAACGGGCTGTATTTTTCAGCCCGTTCATTCTTCAGGCTGGGCATTGGGCAAGAGTCCAGTCTAGTCCATGTGCAGCCCTAATATGAAGGCATGAACCTCTTTTAAAAGCAAAATATATATTATACAAATTTTTTTTTTTAGTTTTGAGATTTAACTTCCGTCCGCTCAATCGTTAGTTAACCGTTAAATTACAAAATTGACATATTATTTTAATCAAAATCTCCCTCCGTAAAGTAAATATTACTTAATATTATTATTTAATCACATATAATATATCTTTATTTGAAATTAAAAAATAATTTTAATACATGTTTCAATATTTTTTTGTTACACAATTAAATCGACTACCATATTATAAATTTAATTAATTTTATAAATATAAATTTTTATTTTATAATAAATTTAAATGTTTAATATCTTTTAGAAAAAATCTATAAAAAATGACTATTAAATTTTAAAATTTTAAATAAGAAATTATTATAAAAAATATGTTGTTATTTACTTTTTAAATATAATAATTTTCTTTAAAGAGTAGTAATTAATGCTGATTTAAATTTTAAAATTTAACAGTCATTTTTTTTTTACTTTTTTCTTATAATTTATTTATTAAAACTTACTTGTAATATAATTTTTTAAATATATATTATCTGAAAATATTTTGTTATTATATATATATATGTATTTTCAATTAAATTATAAAGTTACGTCTTGATTTAATAAATTTAGCAAAAATATTAAATAGATCATCAATAAATATTAATAGTTAAAGATAAATTAGAAATTCAATATAATGAAAATAAAATAGTAAACAAGATTATTTTAATATGTTTTTTAATTGAAAAATATACTCAAAGAATCTTGGGTAATATAACTTTGGTCATATAAGTTTATCTTCATTTTGGTTTTAATCGTTTAAATTTAAACCATAAGTTTTGGTCTCCCAATTTTTTTTAGGGGAAATTGCAAAAAAAGACCTTGGAATTGCAAAACGCAGATAGGGACCCTTCAACTTCACTTTGGGTTTTGACAACTTCAGGGCATATTATTCGTCAAACCTAAGTGAAGTTGTCAAGGGTCCCTATCTGCGTTTTTACAATTCCAAGGTTTTTTTGCATTTTCCCTTTTTTTATGTATAACATTAGTTCCTATAATCCAATAAAATTTAGACCATTTTATCCCTTTAAGGACCAAACCTATAATTTAAAATTTAAGAGGTCAAAACTAAAATGAGAGCAAATTTGAAGGATCAGATATTATATTAACCTAAGAATCTTTTTAGATTATTCTTAACAGTGATAATAGTTGAGACTAAAATCTATATTATTAAATAAAAAAGAGATCCTTGTAATTAAGACAAAACAGATGAGTAGTTAGAATATTTTACTCTAATTTATACTACCTCTAGTTTTAATTATAAGAGTCCATTGACTAATTTGAAGAGATTAAAGAAGTAAGTTGAGTTAGTTATTTGTCTTAAATAGATGTTGTCTTTCCTAAAATATCCTTACTAATCAAGTGTATTGACTAAAACTATCATTGTCAGAAGGGCTATTTTGAAAAAATATATAAATATAAGAGATAAAGTGATTAAAGTCTTATATTTAAAGTCAAAATAAAAATCAAATAAATTTTATATTAAAGACTTATATTAAAGACGGATACAGTAACGAGGATTTTTCGTTTCCCGTTTTTCTCATTCAAATATTTCTAGCCGGTAGAACCGTGTTGGTAAGCGCTGGCAAAGTACTGGTAAGAAAGATCCAGGGGCAATGTTGTCATTCCAGGATTTCTGGAAACGAAAGCGAACCATTTTCAAAACGGTCTCTCAGACTCTGCTGGCTGAGCTTTTACTTCATCTCTCAAGTCTCACCCTCTCTCTGTCCGTGTTCTTCTCAACCCAATCTCCGCCTGTTCATCTGGATCCTCTGTTTGAGAAATCAGGATAAGGAAGAAATGTACGAGGGGCAGCATTTCATGGACTTGGAAGAGAATTCCAATTTCGGCGATCCAAATTCTTGGCTTTCGGCGGACGACAATTCGTCCTTCACTCAACGTCAAGCTCAGTTCTCGCTTGCTAACTCCTCCACTGCCTCCGGAGCTAATGGGAGCTTGGATCGCGTCCTTTTCAACGACCTCGTCGAGATTGTTCCGCTCGTTCAGTCCCTCATCGTAATTTCTCTTATCCTTTTATAATTTCTTTGTATAATAGAATCAAAAGTTGCTCATTATTGGTTGATGGGAGCATTGGAGGGTATTTCGATGTTGAGTTTTTATGTGAGATGGATAAATTCAGCTCTAGGATGATTTACGCGAGTTGGCTGTTCCCGGTTGTTAAATGAATTTCTTGGTTGGGAAACTGATTCCTGAGAGTAAAAATGAAGGAACTGGAAGGAAATATTATAACTTGGACCGTTAAACTTTGTTTTGTGATCTTTGTGCTGTAAAGATGGTAATTTGAACTGCAAACGATGAAATTGCAGTAAATTCGATCTTTAATTATTTTTCCTTTTCCATCTCTCTTCGTGTTTTTTCTTTTCTTTTGTCAAGCGTGTCCTAATGTGGAACTTCAAATATTTTCTTTGTCAATTTTCTGATTCCTATTGTTTGGAACTTCAAATAGTTTCTTTGTCAATTTTCTGATTCCTATTGTTTAAGCATGATTAGGATCGTAAAGCAAGCAGTTCATTCACCCGCCGTGGTTCTATGGTCTACACCAAGACACCTTCAAGAGAAACGTTATCTAAAAGAGTAAGACTGCAAGACTTCTTATGCTCATTTGTTTAGCTCATGATTTGAGTTTCTGAGCTTCTGATCACTTTCTAAATGCATGCTATATGCGCATTATTAGTCAGAATTTCATATTTTGTGGTATTAACTCTTGGGGTATGATTGAATGGGTATAATGGAGGGAAATTGAATTGTTCATCAAAACCTTTCCCTTGTCTGGGAATTTGTTATAAGGAGGGTCTGTTTGGCATCACAGAGGCAAAAAAATACCTTTATTAATGCACAAAGCAAAATATACAGTATTTAATCCTAATATTCAGTTTACCCAACAAGACTAGGATTTTTTAACACATCCAAAATCCTCTTTTCTTTAAAATTTTAAGGTCTACTAATTTGGAGAATTCTAGAGGAGAACTTTTCCTGAACAGGGGAAGGGAAATTACAGTTTGACCATCACTTCCCGACCCTTCTTTCCGCTTCCCTTCCTCCCTCACTGCCAGACATACCCTTGAGAAACTCTTTTCTATATTGGTTCTGATGTGATATAGCTTTATTTAAAGCACATCTTGGGCAAAGATCATTTTTCTTGTCTTGAATGGTATGTGGGATTAGTTGTTCTTTATAAGTTTTTTTTCTCTTTCCTTTCTTATCATTTCAGTTGATATCTTCATTTATCTAGCGGTTTCCTGGAGTTAATTTGGTTGACATGGAGTATACATCCATCTCACTTGATTTAGCAATTTCCTTCCTCTAATCCTTCGTTGAATGATTTAATTCTTCTGTACATTTTGCGTTGTCAATATTGATTTACATGCAGTAACCCTTGTTGTCTGTGAGCATTCGACATGGATTCTACAATTGAGACGCAGCCTTTTGATTGTATAAGCTTTTAAAATGGGTGTCTTTTTTCTAACCTGTTATTTTTTTTATTTCTCATTTTACCTTTGTTTAAATCACTTCAGTTCAAGCTTTTAGATTGGAAAGCCCTTAGTTATGGTGTTTAGATGAGATTAATGAGGCCTATCAGTATGACTGGTGGTGAAATATTTTATTATTGAAATCAAAAGAACACAGTTCTCAGTGGATGCTGGGCAAGCCAGAGATTAGCCAGGCTGAACTGCACACTGTTTGTATTGAGGTCTATCACTCTGTTTTATTCTCATTTTCAATGGCTGAAGCTTAATTTACAAAGAGCTGTATTATTAATCTATTCTTGTTCGAACATTGTTGTTTTCATTGTCATCATTTCATTGGTTTTACTACTTTCTATTGCTCATGTGGTCATCTGAAGCTCTTCTTTTTCAAGTTACAATTTCTTGTGAGTCTGTTTAGTTTGTTTTGAATGCAGCGTCTCTGCTGATATTCATTGGCCATGATCATCATAGCTGATTTTTGTTGTCCCACGATAGACGGCAGATTCAAAAGGTAGGAACACCAGTCAATCTATTCCTGCCAGAAAGAAAAAAGACCATGGAGAAAAAGAACAGAGCAAAAATGATAGTAATAACCTTGACACAGACAGCTTACCAACATTTTCTTCAAGAGCTTTGACATCTGAAAAGGAAAGAGAAGAATTAGTAATGTTGAAGGAGCAGGTGGAGGATCTGCAGAGGAAATTACTGGAGAAAGATGAACATCTAAAGTCAGCGGACAACTCAAGAATCCAGTTGACTGATCTTAAGACAAAAATTGATGAACTGATGCGCCAGTCTTCAGAGAAGGACTCTTTACTCAAGTCTACTCAGCATCAACTTTCTGACGCTAAGGTGCCATTCTACTACTTCTGTTGTTCCATCTCTAATTTGACATAATAAATTGCTGAGTTTATTCATTGTGAGGTGGATTAGTCGCCTCAAACTTGTACTTGACGCATGCCTCTGCATGTCATTGGAAAATGAAAGCCATGATTGCCTTAGGTGTTGAAGGTTAAATTGTAGAGTTGTGATGGATATGGGCTGCTCTATGCATGGGGCACCTATGAAGGCTTCATAGGTGCAAAGTCAGCACCAACATGATTTTGTTTGTTCTGGTTCTACTCAAGGATAACGATGTTCTCGAAATGTTGGCTGTTGTCTTAGATTGTGCCACACTGGATTTATTAGCAAAGGCTCATTTTGGTGTGCAGAGAACTCTATCCTCATCAGGATCCGTCAATATTCAAGATCAAAACATTTTTTGTAATGCTTAAAACTTCTGTTTTGGCATATCGTGAATACAATAAAGGCCAAAAAAAGGTATCCCTCTTGGAGGATAAATTTTAACCTGTCCCTCTTTTTTCACAGATAAAACTCGCGGACAAGCAAGCTGTTCTTGAAAAGACACAGTGGGAAGCAACGACATCCAACAAGAAAGTGGAGATGCTTCGAGAAGAGATAGATTCCATGCAAGGGGATATTTCATCATTCATGTTGCTACTTGAAGGCTTGACTAAATATGATGCTGCTGAATACACTGATGACTATGACTTCAAGCCATATGAATTCAGTCACGTGCCTAGTATTGTGAGTTCATGAATATTTTGACAACCATGATGTGCAGCTTCATTTTGCATGCTTTCTGTGTTTGGCGAAGTTTCCAACACTGAACTGTATGATCTAGGTCAACTTCCTGAAATCGTGACCCATGAGTCCCTCAATCTCGTTTATTTTACTGAACAGCCTGGTCTTAAAGCAGAAGAAATGTATAGTCTTACATGTTGACTATTTTTTTGGCCATCTTTCATGCTGACTTTAAAAGTAAACATCTCTGCTTGAACAGGATGATTTGGACGAGATGGAGATGCAGAAGATGGAAGAAGCAAGAAAAGCTTATATTACTGCGCTAGCTGTGGCCAAGGAAAAACAAGACGAAGAATCTCTTGCTGCGGCCTCCAATGCTAGGTTACACCTTCAATCATTCGTTTTCAAAACCCAAAATCTTAGCCTTTGACATTACTAGCACTTTTCCCTAATATTTGCACGCAAGGTCCTTTACTCACAAATCATGGTAGCACTGATCGACCGTGTCCATGTGCCCGCTAATCTGTGCAAGAGAGAGTGATTTGTGATTGTAAGCTTATTTGATATGCAAATACGTAGCATGGTTTTCGTTTGGAAGATCTTAATTTCATAAACTAGAGCTCTTTTGGTGAAGGTGAAAATTCGTCCTGAGGGGGTCTAACTGCATTTCCACAGCTCATGAGTTCCCAAATCCTTTTCAAGTTTGCAAATGCTTGAGATTTGACTATATCTGAACGAGGTGTGGATTCCTCCGTACAGGGCAGTCATCACTTCTGTCTCTGGCTTGGGGCTGCTATTACCGTAGGATGTGTAACCTCCTCCGTTGTCGACATTTGAAGCGTTTCCGAGATTATGTTGCGTGCCTGTTGCCACGAGGTGGATGTGCTTATATGAGATTGTGATTAGGGACGTTAGTGCCTTTATTTATCGACAAATGCTATTAAACGGCTACCCTGCCGTTTGTCGCTTTATTCCTGGCGAATTTTTCCTTTTCTTTTCCTGGTGAAGAAATTGCTTGGATCAATGTGTGGAATGTTATGTACTTATGTTCATTACTAAACATAAATTAATGTATAGTTGTAGCAATGCCACCCTTTTTTTTTTTGTAATAAGAGACAATTTTATTAAAAACTAGATAAAACGATACCTAAACAACTTCATCATCCAAAAGTAAGCAACTGTGAAGCCCAACAACAGAAAACAAGTACAAATGAAGAAACACACATCGAACAAAAAGTTAACAAACTAGAAGATCCAAGCATAAAACAAGAACAGGTAAAACGCCAGAATGGAAAATCATAGAAACCCAACGTTGAAAGCAAGAGGCCAAGGATTTGGTACTATGCCCAAATCTGGCCAACAGATGTGAGCGTGCCCAAAGTACAGGTTGCTGCTTGCACCAACCATTCGTTCTCCATACACAATAACTCTGAAAGCTCTAATACCCTTGGAAGTTGGAACTGCATCCTGCGAAAAAACTCGCAGACCTGCTTCCATGAAGTAACGCTGCTATAAGGCATAGGGCAGACCCAGTGTCTCAGGACATCCATACCCTTTGGGGTGTTGGAAAAAACCCTGGTACCATACGCCAGAGATAGAAAGGGGGAACTAAATGTATGAACATGAAGCCGGTCCAAAGTTGATGAAAGGAGCTGATTAGAAACAACGTTAGGGTGTTCAATTTGTCCTGTCCAGGTCGTCCCGTCCTGTTCTCAATGAGTTCGAGACAAGACGGTAAAAAAAAAAAATTCAGGATGAGACGGGGCACGAGACGGGACGTGGGACAGGGTCGTCCCGTCCTAGGGTTTTTTTTTTCTTTTAAAAATTATTTATTAATAATTATTATTAGATTATTCAATTTACTTAATAATAATAGTTATTATTTTTATAGTGATTTTTAGCTTTAAGTTATAATATTATCTCAGCAAAATCTCCTTCCTCAATAAAATAATTCTTAAAGTCATTATATAGTATTTCTTGTACGTTAACTTTTTTTACAATATTGTTTTTACACCTTTTTTATACTATATAATAGAGCTTTCTACGTAATATTTTTTAATAATATTTTTATCTTTAGAAGCCCAATGTATTATAACATATAAAAAATTCATATAAAAAATTATAGTTTTTTTTTTTACAAAAAAAGGGAAGCGGGACATCCCGATTGGGATGGGACGGGACGGGACACATGATAAAAACCGTGTCCTGTCCCTGTTCAATTGGATGGGACTGGGACAGGCCTATCCCAGTCCCGTCCCATCCTGTAAACACCCTAGGCAACGCTACATGAGGTATTTGGACAAAACCAAACAATGGCTTGGAAAATAACTTATGAGAAAAGAGTTATTTTTGAGAATATATTTTGTAAAAAAATGATTTTGATAAAGTGAGAGTGTTTGGATAGTTGTTATCAGAAGTACTTTTTATATGTGCAAATTACTAAAAAGGGTATAAGTTAATATGATAATTACATAAAAGATAGATTTTATAATATATTTTAATTTGAAGAAATAAATTTGTTAATAATAAATTTTTACCAACATAATTAATAATATACAAGAAAATGTAATTAATAAATAATTAATATGTGTATGTATATTTATAAAATATAGGATTAAATATGTTTATAGAAAAATGATTATTTTTTTCGCCAACAGAAAAATATTAATTTGCTTTAAAATTTTAAACATGAAATCCCATAACGTTTTTTCACAACTAGTTTTTAGAGCAACATACTACCTCCGATCTTTAATATAATTAATTAAGGGAGAATTACAATCAAATCTCATAGAAGAGAAATAATTACTAAAAGGTTCCAATAACAACCTCAACAGCCTATAATAACATGTCCTATAGTGAGAATAACAACCCTTGGGACTTGTTTTTCAATTGTTTTCTTACTTCGGATTTCATTGTAATTCTCCCATTAATTAATTGTTACTATGTGTATATATATTAATAAAATATAAGATTAAATATATTTTTTGAGAAGATGAATAATTTTTTGTGAATAGAAAATTATTAATTTTCCATGAAGATTATAAGCATGAAATGGCATGATATTTTTTAGACATAATCACACTCGTGTTTTGTGTTAATACTTGAATGCGGCTAAGCTACAACATCCGAAACTTTCATTAAAAACAGGATTACAAAGAATTACAAGGATTACAAATATGTCTATCTTAAAAAACTAATGTAAACTGCATGGACCAAAAATAGGTTCTCTGTCTCCGAAAGCAACTCAGATCCTTGAAATTGAATAGTGTAACAAGATGACATGGTTCCAATAGAGCAAGCAAAATGAAATCAGCTTTGAACCAAGCAAAACGAATGAAGCCAGTACTGAATATCAACCCACCAATGAAGCAAAACGTCAACCACAACTATGAACCAAGCAAAAGACCCCCTCAAACCAGCATTGAAACAAAAAACAAACTAAGGTTAAAGGAAATCTGAGAAGGAAATAGATCTATGAACCAAGAAAAAGAAAAAAAAAACTGCACCAAATGATGCACTAACAGTATGGTAGAACATCAAGCGAAATTTGAGAACGAAATTAATGAAGGAGATAGATGCAATGCATGAATGAAGAAAATACATGAGGGAAGAAATGATTATTCAAGAGGGGAGAGCTTACCTGAGTGGCGGATCTAAGCAAGGGAACCATTGACGTCGACCTCACCAAACCACCATTGGAGGATGCTTCACACTAACAATTGCAAACCAATGATAGACAAATCGGACCACCTAAGGCGCGATCGTCTTTTGCAGAGCTAAGAAATACCTCACCAGTGCCTTCAAATCGCGACTTGACGACCACTTCACCGGCGGCAAGCGTTGTGTCTCGGGGGGAGCAAAGGTGGAATGGTTTCTAATTTATGAAGGAGTGAGGGACTGAAGGCAGAATGAAGAGAGTGAAAAGAAGGAAGGAATAATTGAGGGGAGTTTTTTGTTATATACCATTGGGGTCTTCTCTGACAAGCATAATCATCACACCAACGACTTTCAAATTTGAGTCAGAAGCAAAACCAATCCACTTCATTTGAAACTATAGTTTTGATCCAAACCATGATTTGTTCATTTTCCTCCCTATTTGGCAAATCTCTGGCCCAAATCATGGTTTGGGTCTGAAAAGCATTTTTGTGTATTTTGCCAAACAGGCTCACGGTTGTAAACAAAATATAAGAGTAGCCTAAAACTAACATGAATAGCCATGGCACTACTTATTCCATGGCCATCCTTTGCCCAAAGCTTCATTCTATCAAATGCAATTTTTTTTTTTTAGCAGAAAACTCACTAAACCTCAGCAAAGAGTCAGAATCAGAAGCTACTAACGCAGAATCACTACCAACATACAAAGAGCTTCTCCGCTTGCGACTCTCCTCCCCACGCTGAGCTTCATAATATTATATCCAAAGCTAAGCAATTTGGTGAAAAGCATTAGGAACCAACGTCTCTTATTTATAATCACTTTTTTTGACTGACGATCCCTCATCATAGCTTGATGGCTCCATTTGAGAAGGAAGGATAAACTTTTGAATGGCAATCTGCATGAGAACTAGTCTTGGCAACGAAATTGAACCTTCGCAATGCCCTTGGAACCATTCTCAAAAGAATGAGGACAATTATTTCTCTTAGTTGCAAAGACAATCAAATCATACATGGATCAGACTTAAGTTTCTTATTGGAGTCGAAATCAGACGATCTTCCCTCGGCTTCCTTGTTTTTATTGCTAATAAGAGAAGCTGTTGTCCCAAGACATTCTCCTAAATTGTTCATCCCCCGTTTAAGATTAGTTGAAACAAAGCAGCTAGAACGAGAGGCTTGATTCTGATGATTGGACCTTGTGATAGAAGTATTGGGCCAAATAAGAAGCCCATTTTTTTTTTGACTAAAGCATAGGTATCATCTTATTGGAAACAATCCTATTCGAATCCTATTCGAGGCACTGTCGGGCACTAAATATGGACACCTTTCTCAACAGGAATTCGAACTTTAGTTCCTCCTGTTGTGAGGGACTAGCTCATTCTACTAGACCTAATTCCTGTTGGTAGAAGCCTAATATTCTCTTGATGCTGTAATGAATGCTTGAATGAAGTATTTGGGCTAAATGAGGCCCCTTGGGTTTGCTTTGAATGAACACTGAATCCACCGACTTCGAGCAACTCGCAGGCAAGGGCCAAACAAGCCACGACGTCTGCAAAGTTTACCCGCATGTTCCAAAAGGACCGAAAGATGCACTCGCTGACCAGAGCACAATCGAAAGCATGAAAATGAAGACAATGAAACATTACATGGCAAAGAAATGTTAATCCGGAAACCACCCTTATGCGTGAGACAGTATCTGTCATAATCCAAGTAAGAACCAATGGAGTTTGTGTGAAGGAAAGAAGTCTTTTCCTTGCGCATTTCATTAGAGAATGCAAGGCTCATTAGCATTCGAATTCGAATTGCAACTAGATAGATTATGGCCCCCGTGCTGCTTGAGTCTGAAGGCTCTGGGCTAGCTCGAAGTCTAAAATAGATCACAGCATCAAGCCCACATAACATAGCAAACTCAATTTAATGTAAAGATTAATATCATTTTTTATCCTTGAATTTTAAATTTTAGTTTCTAAAATTCGTCTCAAAAAGTTAGTTTGAAAGTATAATAGTATTAAAATCTGTTAAAATGTTGTAAATAACATTAAAGTAATAATGTGGATTGGAATGGATAATGAATCATTAAAAAAATACATAATATCAACCTAGCAACATATTACACACTTGTAATCAAAGGCTGACCCACTCCTTCTTCCCCTTACTTTGGCTCGCAACGTTTTTCCCTTACAGGCATGCTCACCACTGATGACAAAGTTTTCCACAATATCGCAAATCCTTTTTTTTTGGTCTGTAGAAAAGTGCCCATCATTTTCCTAATTTTATTTCCTCTTTGTTAGAGAAACAAATTAATTTCTTTTAAATCATCTTGCGTGGTCTGAGTTAAATGTGTGAGGTGTTCTTTTTATAATAATTACAAATATTATAGGCAATTTTATGTAAGACACTGTGACGCTAATGCCTAAATTTGAACTTTGGTTGGTTACACATTACTGTAGTAGAAGTGGTTTTGGTTCCTTCCAAACACCATGCCATAATAATCGATTTCTGACCGCGCCGAGCATCATATGACTTCTTTCCTTTTTTTTGGTGAACAAGCATCATGCAACTTTTTGGGACATCATGAAGGCGGTATAAGCCCTTCCCGCCAGGCGCAACGGCTTCGAGATTCAGGCGGACAATGGCAGAGAACACCCACCGAGAAATTGAAATCCGAACCCTTTCTGCTGAATCCATCGTCCTTCGCTTCCCTTCCAGCAGCACTGTTCAAGAACTCAAGCTTCTACTCAACCAAACCTTCCCTCCTGCCGCTCACTCCCCCAATTTTCACCTTTTCTTTAAGGTATTCTTCTCACACTTTCCCCACAAAATTTTCTTTTCTTTCATTCCCATTCCATTTCTTCAGTTCCCACACTCACTCTACCGTCTAAGTTGTTTTGTTCTACAGTTTTTAAAGTCTGCCAGTTTATCATCTTTATGACGTATCTACTTCACATAATGAATAATCAATAATGGGATAACGAGGTTCTGGTTCCAGGGTGACAAATTGAGATTGCACAGTCAGATTGATTGTTACCCCATCGAGACCGGTGACTTCCTTGTTTTAGTTCCGTTTACCAAGAAATCAAACCAATGTGATGCTTTTGCAGCTCCCCCCAATGTAGCTGATACAGCTTCAATTTCAAATCTTGCTGATTCTACCTGGTCCAATATAATGGAGGATATATCATATTTACGTGAGACCCGGAGCGATGCAGAAAATGACGACGATGCATCTCATTTGAAGTTCGACATGTTTACTGATGAACATAGAAAAACGACGGCGGAGACCCCTAGTCCTAATTGTCCCGAGTCTAAATCCAAGTGGGATTTTGGCTCTGATAAGCAGATAGAGCTTCCTTATCACCTAATATTGAGTAAACTGCAGTATACTAGTGAGACTGAGGATGCTCTTGGAGAACACAATTGTGAAATCCTTGCTAAGGTTTTGGCTTCAATAACTTGTTTATCAGATCTGCCTCTTGGGCACTGCAAGTTATTTAAGAGAGCCCGTCAGAAAGGAGCGGACTTGGGGTCTTATGTGAATAATGGTAGTTCATGCTTGTGTCCCCAGTGGTTGAAGAAAGTGATGAAGGCTTTTACTTTCATAAATATTTTTTCGTCGTGGCTTCATTGGCAGGGTAAGAAAACAGCTTCAAATCTATTGGAAAAAGCCATGAATCAGCTTGGAAAATTTGGAGTTAAACTAGATATTCAGGACATGAAACATCTTTCCCTTCTTTGTCCGGAGGTAAATTGATTAAATACTTTCCTTTTGTTTTTTCACCCTGAAGGTTTATCCTTTTCAAAAGCCTATATTTTATACATACCTACCCTCACCTTATAAATTCATAATTCACATGATGAAGTATGGTATGCTTACTATTTAGTAAGTCGGTTGAAATGAACCTCCCCCCCCCCCCCTCTTGTGATTGAAAAAAATAAGTGTTCTTGGGGTAGTCTGCTTTTGAATGCCTGAACTTATTCTTATTTCCTAGTATGTATTTGTCACACATTAGTGGAACTAATTATTTATCTCTTCCTGCTCTAATTTGTGGATTGTATCCTTTATAGCTAATATGTTTTTCCGATGATATAAAGAACGCAAGTTATGATGATGTGATGATCATCATTAATCATTCAGCAAGAGATGAAACTAAAAAAAAGGACACATCCGAAAGAGGTATTAACTTTGTTTTGTTCTGGTTTTGTGGTTTACCTCGTGCACACAGAGGCACATACTGCACTTTATATATTGTCTGAAATATCCTGTTTAATAGGTCGCAAGTGGTTGCATGTTTCAAAGATTGTTAGTGCATTGAAGAGAAGGGATGGTTCCTTTCGAAACAATCTGTGGATGGCATTTTCCAGGCTGCTGGTATCTTTACTTAACATATGATACCGTGTATTTCTTGCTCTTTGCAGTTAGCCTTGTTGCAATAGATATGCTCATGCACATGAACTTTGACTTCCACCTTGTAGTATGTGCATCAACTTGAGATAGGCGCTGTCTATTTTTAGTTGGAATATTGTTCTACTTGTGGTCAGCCATGACAATTGATCAAACAGTTGATGATCTGTGTGGAGGAAGGCATAAGATTGAGATTGATCTATTTTTTTCCTTCGTGTGTCTAATCTTAATGAAGTAGTGAAGCTGTAACTATTTCCTTAGTAGTGTCGTTCTCACTTCTCTTTCTTTTCGCAAGCTTAGTGATTATCTTTATATACTCAGCTGCCTCTAATTTACATCATTGTCGTGGTTTTATTCATGAAACCCTTATTAGTAGTTGGGCTCACAATAACGGCAGAAACTAATTTCTACGTGGTGTTGAATAATGGGAATTGTTTAATTTGCAGAGTGCTTGTGGAGATGAGATGGCTTTGAAAATTTCCTTGGAAGATTTGGTTGCATCCATCAAGGACCAAGGTTCTACTCAAAATCAAAGAATAGCAAAACCCATGAAGAGAAGCTTGAATAATTCAAAATCTGATTCTGATCGTGTTAAGTGTCATGTATATGTTCATATAATCTCATGCTACACATTTATTGCAATTTCATGTGTACTAATTCTATGGTTTGATCGATCAATGTTTTATTTTCTGACCTCAGTACTTCTGTGTTTATTGTTGTTGTTGTTAGTGGTCAATGCTATTGATGCAGTTCTATTATCTACTTTTCCTCACTCAGTGAGTCTTATATCATGAATTTATGAGTATTCCCCTTTCTACCCCAAATAGTATGGTGGAAGCAAGATAGCAGATTCTATATCTGTTGGGTTTATGGCATGTGTTTTGCACACGTCCTAAATTTCCCCAGAAGAAATTTGGTTTCATGTGCAAGGGAGTTAGTTTTGAACAGTACCATTGAGTTTTAGGTTTGGATAATTTCAAGTAATGCTGGAATGGTAAATAACATGTTGCCAGTCTATTAACCTATGGGCTGGGAGAATTAAACTGCGCTCAACTTTCTTGCTTTCATTTCTTCTGCTTTGGTGATAATTTCTGCTGCAATTTATGTTTCCAAAAAAAGAACTATATTGCAAGTCTATTAATTCATGGCTTTGGCAGGAAACGTCATCTTTGCTGCCCATGGAAATGGTTGAACATCTTCAAAAAGGAATTGGCTCTGAAGGACAGGTTTTCTCCGTACTATTTTTTGTTGCAATCAATATCTATAAAATCTATGGGAAGTTGTTAGGACTACTTTTAGAGAATTAGGAAAATACATGAAAAGGGAAAAGATGCTTTTGTGGATCAGAACTTTGGCTTCCTATTTTGGAAGAAATAGAAAGATAGGGTTGCTATAGGGTGACTAAGGTCAAAGGCTATTTGAGGGTTGTTTTGGAGAATGGGAAAGTCACTTCTTCGGGCCTATAAATCATCCTTTTGGGTTCAGTAGAAATGTGGAGAGTTGGAACTGTGATTTGGCCCTTAGGGTGTGTTTGGTTGGAGGGGAGGGGAGGGGAGGGGAGCCCCTCCCCTCATTTGGTTAAAAATTTTGGAGGGGAGGGGAGCTAAAATGTCCCCTCCCCTCCCCTCCCCTCCCCTCCCCCATTTTGGCTCCACTCCAAATTGGGGGTTTTTGGAGGGGAGCCAAAATTTTGGACTATTATGCCCTTATAGTTTTTTTAATATTCTACTTCTACCTATAAAATATATTATTATAATATTTATTTCAAATAAAAAATATATTATCCTAAGTAAAAAAATAAAAAATATATACATTATTATAATTAAAAATATATTATAAAAATTATTTAAAAATAAAAAATTATAATATATAAAATTAATTGTTTTTTATAAATATATTATTTATTAAATATATTTTAAAGCTGGAAAAAAAGATAGCCTAAAGAAAATAAAATTTCATTTTTCTTAGAGCATATAAAAGTTGTTAATTTGATTATTTTAAATATATTATTATATTAATTAGAATAAAAAATTACTATACCAATTTTTTAATACACATATTAACATAATAAGACTGAATTTTTATTAAATTATATAATTTAAATTAAGATGTAAATTAATTTATATAATATATCAATAAAAAACATAAACTAATATATAAGGGTAAAATGGTAAATTGATTATTACTATCCCTCCCCTCCCCTCCTTGAACCAAACAAGGGATCATTAAATACCCTCCCCTCCCCTCCTTTTTAATCAAACCAAACAAGGTGAGGATAAAACCTCCCCTCCCCTCCCCTACCCTTCCCTCCCCTCCCTCCCCTTCCCTCCCCTCAAACCAAACAGGCCCTTAGGGGAGGAGAGTGCCAACCTCTCGAAAGATTGGCAAGCATTGTTCTGTTTCGTGGGTTTGTAGAGCCATTGTGGAGCCCTTGTGTTGTGGTCGGTGTTATGTTTCTTCTAGGCTTGTAACTGTTAGTCCATTGTTGTTTGTGTATTTGAGCGTGAGAGTGTGATTTGTGTGTCTTAGATCACCCTATCCCTTGTAATCTGACTTATTATACAGCAATATAGTGATCAGTTTCATTTATGTCAGTTTTTGTTCTCTATTTCTTGATTTTAAGTGCTGTCATATTAGAGGGTCCTGTCAGAAGTATAGAGAGCTATGCTGTTCAGAAGCTGTAAATAGTGCAGCTCCGCTAAATTTTCTTGCAAATGCAGATGTCCCACTTCAATTTAAAATATTATACATGAAAACTAAATTCACCACACTTTGCTTGTCAACAGCCAATAATTTATATGTAGAATAGGGGCATCCAATGATATATATACTGTCAACCTTGATGCTCTATTCGTATTGATGAACAAGCATCTTGGCATGCCCTAAGTAACTTGGTTGGAGAAACACTAATGCAGATTGTGCACATTGAAGACATTTCCGCCAGAAAAGCAATTTATGCAGAGCTTGAATTATCAGAAAACATGAAATCTGTACTACACCATATGGGAATTTCCAAATTGTATAGTCATCAGGTACTGCTTGAATTAGGGGAATCATTGTCTTCTAGATAATAGTTTCTCATCATCAGATTCTTCTGTATTTTGTACATAGGCGGAGTCTATTGAAGCATCCTTTTCTGGAAAGAATGTTGTTGTTTCAACTATGACATCCAGTGGCAAATCACTATGTTATAACTTGCCAGTCTTGGAATGGCTGTCAAGGAATCAATCATCATGTGCTCTTTACATATTCCCAACAAAGGTTTGTTGCATTGGCTACTTTTATATTCTTTGGGATAGCCATAATCTTTTCATTTTTCTTTGACTGGGGTGAGGATCTAATAAGGTGGTTCGAATATACAATGCACGTAGGCATTGGCTCAAGATCAATTAAGAGCTTTGGCATATATGACAAAAGTATTGGATGCTGACTTCAATATTGGTATATATGATGGAGATACTTCTCAGAATGAGAGAACATGGTTACTTGATACTTCTAGGCTGGTAATATAATAAGTAGGGGCTTTCTCATCCCAGACAGATTTGGGTAAAATGAGCCTCATTTGTCATTCTTATGCTGCAGTTGATCACAAATCCGGATATGTTGCACATTTCCATCTTGCCTCATCATCAGCGATTTTGTCGGATTTTATCAAATCTCAGGTATTGTCTTTTCTGTATTGTTTTACCATATTGAATTTCTCCTCAACATCTATATCAAATATGAAGATGTCAGTTTCTGTTGCCAAGAGATTTACTGAATGTCTTTGTTCATTAGGTTTGTAGTAATTGACGAGACTCATACTTACAAGGGAGCATTTGGGTGTCATACTGCTTTCATATTAAGGAGGCTGAAGCGGCTCTGTACACATGGTACATTCTTCATCATGATTTTCAAGTTTCAAGAAGTGTCTTCATACAAGTATTTCAGTTTGAATGGAAATATGGATATGATGTTTTCTTCTATGTGCAGTATACGGAACTGTTCCATCTTTTGTTTTTTCCACTGCAACTTCTGCAAATCCTCGTGAGCATTCTATGGTAAAGATGTCTATGACAAACTGATTCAATTTTACATCTTTTCAACTTGTTGCCATGTTATTAAAATAAAGATGTCAGCAACACCACCTAATGCGGGCATGCCTTGTGTTGTAGGTAATTTGGTTATTATCCAAGAATTGTTATATTGTTATGGTAAGATTTAATCATGAATTTTAATGCTGTAGGAACTTGCAAATTTACCAACACTGGAGCTCGTTCAGAATGATGGCAGTCCATCTGCAAGGAAGCTATTTATCCTTTGGAATCCCATATTGCGCCCAAAACCTGTTAGTTATGATGGTTTCATGCTTTAGAGCTTGTACGACATTAGTTGAAATCATATATTTTACCAATGAAATGCTGATACTGCCTGATTTCAGTTCTTGAAAAGAGCTAAGTTTGCTACAGCTGCTGGTGAAAGTGTTAACTTTGTTCGTTCAAGGTGATAACCCCTCTATGTACCAAATGAGCATTATAATTTTCTGCTACTATCTCTTAAAATAAGTCTGTGTGTATGTTCTTCCTTCTTAATCTGTCGCTTCAATTAATCAAAATAAGGCTTCAGCTTGGATGTGGAAAATGACAATTGTGGGGGAGGAAATTTTTGGAAAGCCATAATCTTTGTTCTGGGAGAGTACATAAACTGTGAAGGTTCTGTTACGCATACTTTCCCAAGTCCCATACTGGGAGAAGAAATATCTAAAATTTTGAAATTAGCATGTGATTTCTAGACGAACAAGTGATGCTTATGACTTCAGATAATGAGATTTTTTGAAAAGTACTTATAATCTCACATTGATGAGGAGTTTAGGAGAAGGGATAAGCTTTATTTATAAATAGATCCTTTAAGCGTTGGTTTTTCACCATCAAACTAGCCTTATCACACTATTACCACAAGGGTGTAATCAGGGTATAGGGTAGTTGTGATCGATTGCTCTTGGAATCACAATCAACTGTAGGACTATACATGAGAGTAATCAGATATTTCAGTATATGTGAATTTTGAGGAGGATTTTACAATTTTTCCATTCAAAATTGTATCTGGAGAGGATTATACAATTTTTTTCATTGAAAATTTTGTGAGTAGTTTGCAACTTTTCAGTTAAAAATTTGATAGAAAAATGATGATACGAAGTCACAGTGAAGTGGGTCTATTTGAGTCACCAAAACAAGATTTGATTTGTGTGTTATTTTCTTCTCTGTTTCTCTTCTATATATGTTACTATAGTTGAGGTCCCAACAAGATTAATACATTTACATTGTCATTCATATTAAGTGGCACAAATCATCACTCAAGTCAACGTGCTGCTTTAAATAATGAACAGTTATGAATGATGAAAATGCTCAAAAGAATGTAAAAGAACATAATGTGCGCTTTCTTTAGGGTTTATTGTATTTCTTTGGTATCTTTATGTGAATGCTTCTTCTTCTTCTTCTTCTTTGGCAGTTCAATTGTGGATGTGTCACGGCTCTTTGCGGAAATGGTTCAGCATGGTCTTCGTTGCATAACGTTTTGCAAATCACGGAAACTTTGTGAACTTGTTCTATCCTATACGTATGTCAATGAATTTTTTGCATTTGTCTAGTTTAGTTCTGAATGAGAAGATAGTCTTTTTTTTTTAAATTAAATAAAAAATGTGTTATTCAGTTTTTGGAAGTTTTAATGGTTACTTAGTTCTTAAATGAAAGTAGAAGCTTGTACCATTGATCACTTTATATGTCATAGACAGGAGATCCTTCACGAGACTGCCCCACACCTGGTAGATCTGATATGCGCGTATCGTGGTGGCTACCTTGCAGAGGTTAGTTTTATTTCTATTTTCTCTTTTTAAATATTGATCTCTGACAATACACACGTATATCCATGTTACTTTTTGTGTACTTTGATTTCATGGGGAGTAAAGTCCTTATTTTATGTGGTCTTCAGTTTTATTTATTCCTTATTCTTACCTAGTTCCAGATCCGTACTCTATTTCATATAAAATAATGTCACTTACATTTGTCTTTTAACAGACTAAGATAGTTAGTTAAGATTTAATAGAAACCTATATAGTATATAACACAGCTGGGACTTGCCATAAATGGTATTTAAGGATTTATTTTTAAAGAGCGTTTTCCCCTCTGCAAGATATAAAAGTTTCACAGGCTTTTCAAAAGTGGGTCAGAAAATGTGAATTATGACTCAGTCAATTTTTATGGTCGATAACCACTCCCTCTGTCTACCTGATGACTCCCCCCCCCCCCTCTTTTTTCTCCTGGTAATGGCAAACTCCTACGTGCCTCTGAAATGAGTGTACAGAGGATATGCTGGAGGGATTGTATCAGAAGGCTCATGGGAGCGTAAATATGGCACAACATAGCCCGTATTACTTCCTCTTTTGTTTGTGTTCGCCAATTTACTGGTTTGTTTCAATGTTTTGAACATCTGCAGTAGGGTTTCACCCATTTCTCATCATAATGCATGTGCAATGTCATTCTGTTGTATTTTATTTCATTACCTGCTAATCAATTTTTGTTTGTCACATGATTCTGAGACATACTGCTGGTGGCTTTTCATTTACAGGAAAGGAGAAAAATAGAGAGTGAATTTTTTGGTGGTAAACTTTGCGGTGTTGTTGCAACCAATGCTCTTGAGTTGGGCATTGATGTTGGAGAAATTGATGTGACCCTGCATTTAGGATTTCCCGGTAGTGTTTCCAGGTAAACTGATCACACTTTCTGCTGTAAATTGATGTTGCAACCAATGCTCTTGAGTTGGCCTTTTTCCCTGGTTTATTTTTTTGTTTGGGACTGTCTGATCTTTTTTTCCTTTTTCATTTTCTTTTCTAAATCTACTTTGTTGTTAGCTTGTGGCAACAGGCTGGCCGAGGTGGAAGGAGAGATAAACCATCTCTTGCTGTGTATGTTGCATTTGGAAGTCCTCTTGATCAATACTTTATGAGGCATCCAGAAAAACTGTTTGGTAGACCAATTGAATGCTGCCATGTTGATGCCCAAAACAAGCAGGTTTTCTACTTCAAGACTTATTTTCTACTTACATCTATATTTCTGTTTAGTATTTAGGCTTACCCTGACAAAACTTTGTTCAGGTTCTGGAACAGCATTTGGTCTGTGCAGCTCATGAACATCCTTTGAATATGTTGTATGATGAGCAGTATTTTGGTTCTTGCTTAGGGAGTGCTTTAATTTCTTTAAAGGCTAGAGGATACTTGAGTTACGAGCAATCATCAGATTCTTCTACTAGAATATGGACTTATATTGGTCCTGAGGTAGTAACAAGTTTTAATCTATGAAACTTTCTGGTTGATTGAGGTCATACCTGATCTCTAACTTTTGTAACATTGAGATTGATCCCTTATTCTATTCATTTAACTTTCTTCCAGAAATTGCCTTCACATGCTGTCAACATCCGAGCAATAGAGACTATAAGATATGAGGTCATAGATCAGCAGAGAAAACAAGTCCTTGAAGAGATAGAGGAGAGCAAGGCCTTCTTTCAGGTAATAACTTCTTCCTACTATGTTCTTTGGCCCCCGCCCAGAGGAGGTGGGGAATAACTTTACTTAGGTTATGTAAGTTACTATGTATTATTTGACGTTTTCTGCTCACAAACTTTTATATTTACTTTTTCTTTAATTCTTTCTTTCTCAATTCAGGTTTATGAAGGAGCTGTGTACCTGTGCCAAGGTAAAACCTATTTGGTCGAGAAATTGGACTTATCCAACAAGGTTGCTTCCTGCAAAGAGGCTGATTTGAAGTACTACACGAAGACTCGAGATTTCACTGACATTCATGTCATTGGGGGCAATATAGTATGCGACTCCTGCTTGTCAACGCAGTATCATGATTCATGTGGATAGCCTCTAAATATATTTTATTGCAATGGTCATTATTAATTGTGCTTTAGATTTGTGCATGTATATGCATGACCGGAAACGGTGGTTCAGGCTTATCTGTTGGTATTACATGCTCAATATACTGCATCGACCAGGATGAATGAAATGTAAATTACCTGCCCTTGGAAATCAAGAGAAGTTAACAGTCATATTCTAACATGCACATCCATTGATTTAGTTGAATTTCTCCATTTAGTTTTAATTAAATTTACTAGTGAGGAGTCCACTTTATATTATTGGATATGTTAATGATATTATGGTTACGTATTCTCATAAGGTGCGCTTATTTGTAGGCTTATCCAACAAAGGTATCCACTGATATGCTTCCAAACACAAATGCTCGTGCTGATTTGTGCAAAGTAACAACTACTTGGTTTGGTTTTTATCGTATTTGGAGAGGAAGCAATCAAATATTTGATACTGTTGACCTATCACTTCCTCAATATTCATATGAGTCACAGGTAAACTTGAGCACCGTTAGTCATTAGGTTTTTTGAAAAAATTATGAGTGCTAATTCCAAGTACTCTAGTGTCATCTGATTCTGTACTAATACTCGTGTTTTTTGCCTCTAACAGGCGGTTTGGATTCCAGTGTCGCAATCAATAAAAGAAGCAGTAGTCAAGCAAACCTATGATTTTCGTGGAGGTCTGCATGCTGCATCACATGCTGTTTTAAATGTAGTGCCTCTGTAAGTCTCTTGTAGATTTCCATACTAGGGTTTTGCCCTCTCCATGATATGGTATATTCCAGTTCTGTGGAATGATGATCTATTTCTTTGCACCTGATGTCTGTCCATATGCTATGCTATATATAGATATAGTGATTGCTAAGCTACATTTTGTGTGTTTCAAAATTATTATTTACAAATTACACATTGTACAGCTAAGCATGACTAGATATTCAGTAAAATACAAACTTATTCTTGAGATTAATTAATTAATTAAAATTATAAATACTATTTTTTCCAGAAGAATTAAGATTACTGTTTTTTAGTGAAAGTTTTGCACATAAATAGTATAAAATTATTTAATCCCGTTAATGTTTGTAAAAGCAAAATTGCTTGTAAACTGTTGTATTGGTGACCTGCCTCTGACATTTCTGTTTGAACAAAAATGGGATAGAAGAATATAGCATAAACCATTTTCAGCACGCATACCGATGCTTCCTTTTTTACAGGTCATTTTTAGAAAACTAGAGATTTTGCGGTGTGTATTCCCAGAAGTTGTTAGTTGGGAAGAGCAGTAAAGGATAATAGTAGACTTGTACCCATTTGGATATGCAGGAACAAAATTCAGTGGGGCAGACAAAATTGCGGTCAAAGATATCATGTACTAAACTTTAAGAAATGCCCGAAATTTGATCATGTGGCTGCATTATTAAAATTAAAAAACGTCTAGACATTCTATCTAGCTAAATGGTTGGGCACTAGGCTAAACTATGATGCTACTTTTTAATATTAGAGCTGCTATTTCTTTTCATCATGTAAGTTATAAATTTATACTCGGTTTTCTATGTTATGGTGTTTATGCTTATAGATATATTACATGCAACTTGTCTGATTTGGCTCCTGAGTGTCCAAATCCTCATGATCGCCGTTATCAACCGGAGAGAATTCTAATATATGATCAACATCCTGGAGGATCTGGTTTATCTTTACAGGTGATTGGCATTAAACTTTAGTTTAATGATGAAGTTGATATTTTGCTTCTTTTGTCTTTTTCCAACTATTTTCCTTAAATTATTTTCTGTTATGGTGGTTTTGGATGATAATTTACTGTTTTAAATAGCATCTGAATCAGCAAGTAAATGCATAGTGTGATACATTTAGGAAGAGATAAAGAAAAATTAGGTAGTCGAAGGAAAGAAAAGATGTGGACCCTATACACGCTTCCATTTTGTTGTCACTCTGATTAATGCATGGTGCATTACTGTGGAAGACTGCAATCTATTTTTAACAATATTCCTCTACGCCATTTGGTGATATCCTTTCTAGTTTGTATTAATATGATAAAATGTTTGATAGGTCCAACGGATTTTCCCAAAGTTGTTGGCTGCTGCGCTAGAGCTTCTTACATCTTGCCATTGTTCAGCGGAAGTGGGTTGTCCTGACTGCGTTCAGGTTTTTACCCAAAACTCGTCTTTAATTCTTTATTTCCTGCTTATTCTGGTTGAATTAGTAGGCTAGTTATGGTTAAGAAGAAAAATGGTAAGCTGTGAAATATACCAAGTAAATTTACCTAACTTTACAGCTAGATTGTATATAAAATGTTTTGCGTGTTACAGAGCTTTGCTTGCCAAGAGTACAATGAAGTTATACACAAGGATGCAGCCGTTATGATCATCAAGGTTGTCTCCTGAACCTCGTGAATTTTAACCTGCGCTTGCAGTTGCTTTCATATGATGACCTGAGATGTTGTCCATTCAGGGTGTTCTGGATGCAGAGCAGTATTTCGGGGACTTGGCCGAGTGCTCTGAAGTCTGTTGAAAGAAGTCTCATTTTGATGAGTCAGGTTGGCTTGTGGTGATATTAATCGGGTTCGCGAGCTTATCCCCGTAAATATATGCAATTTATTATTTGTGTAGTAATGTAAACAGTGTTTCATTTCCTACTTCACCAAACTTAGTATGATCCCTGGCAACCTTGAGCATTCGTATCGTGGAGATAGGTTGGAGACAGTGAGATTGAAATGAAAACCCAATATATATCCGCCTTTTCTCCTAATCATAAAATGGAGAGAGATAAATCATAAACAAATAACAACTAGAAATGTGTCTAGCTAAACTGGCCTCTCAAAAGGTTGCTAATTTTTTTTTTTTTTGGGAACCTTTTTAATACTCCTATGCTCTTATTTATAAGATAAAGAGAGAAGGAATTTTTTGATTTTATTTATGAGGCAGAGAGAAACGTTTTTCGTATGAATATACTATGTTACTCGTCATTTATTCTTGTGTTGCTTTTGTTATCAGGAAATTATATATATTAAATAGGAATAAAGTTAAAAAGTTATTGAATTTTAAGATAGAATTAATAGAGTTTAAAGTCTTTCTTACCTTATATGAAACATGTTAGAAGTGTTAGAAGTAACTTATAAGTTGAGAAGTATAGGAGTATAAGTTAACCATAAGTTTTATCAAGTTTGGTGGATTTCTCAAATCATTGTTTGATTGAAATCTTATTTTAGTCTGTAATTTTTAATTTTCTATAAATATAATAATAGTTTGATTGAAGTCTTTCTATCTATTTATTATAAAATAGACTATCAATTTACATATTATGTGATTATACTTTGTAATCTTGTAATAATAGATGGTTATAGAACATTGAGGAAGTACAATCTGTGTAAAAATTTGTAATAGATTAATATAAAGAAATCTATAATTGTTTTAAATTTAAGATATTCGCATCCAAAAAATTGAGAGGTTAAATTAAGAAATAATTTTCAAAAGAATGAAGTTTTAAAAAATTACTGATCACAAATAATAGGTTAAAAATAATTTTTTTAAGATGATTGAATGGAAAAGGTACCTAGGTACTAGGGCTAAATTGTAATAAAAAGCTAATGATAATGTGATTTAATGATACTGAAAGTTTTTCTCATACGGATAAGTTTACTCGGAACCCCCAAGACTTAGTTTAGAGATTTACAAGTTTTATTATGTTCAGGTCTTGCCAAATGGCTCTTGTAGCCTTACACAGACCACATTTGAACCACAACATGTAAAATTTTTTACTAAAGTTTCTTTAGTTATTAAGAGATCATCTCACAGGGTCATAGTCAAATTTTTTTCTTATACACAGGATCTTTATATGAGGCAAGCATAGAGCATAGTTAAATCTTGGAGCACGTGGAATAAGCTTTTACAAAGGGAGGAGATTTAGAGAGATCTTATGAAAAAACATATTTTCATTCATAAATACAACACTCGATGCCTCCTCAAAACATCATAGGTTTGCTTATATAAACTTTGTGACTCATTACAAGACAAACTTGAATTATTGCAATCCATCTCACTTTATAATACGTGACATAAAGTAAAAATACTCAACAAAAGTAAGCACGTTTGTACTAAAAATAGATTCATAATAGATAAGCCTTTTCTTTACTTAAAGATAGACTCATAATTTTGTGACATATTGGAGTTCTTTGTCGTGATTGTTGTCTTCTTTTGATCCATATGGGTCTTGAGAGAGACATCGATTGGAGTCTTGAGAAAGTAGTCCACTCCAGTGACTTGAAGATGATAGCTGTATATTTGAAAAAGAGGGTGAGATGTTTTTTGAAATACCTGGATGAGAGGACGAGGCAGTAGGTGAAGTAAAAAGAAAAATCCTAGCTGGAAAAAAATTGATTTTATTTAAGAAAAAAAAAACAGTATTTAAACATTTATGGTAAAGGTTACAAAAAAATTCATGCCATGCTTACGAATGGGAGGTTATTTAATTTTTTTTATAAGTGAATTACGTAATCTAAGAATGCTAAGGACCGCAGATAATAAAAAATTGATACGTGAAGGACGAAATAATAATAATAATAATAATAATAATAATAATAGTAGTAGTATTATATTTGTCAAAGAATAACTAATATAAAGTATATAATTTATAATATGATTTATTTTAAAATTTAGTATGAAGATCGCCTAGTTTATTTAAAACATCCTCATGGTAGAAAAAAGGGAGTGCAATTTTATGTAGCCATCACCATTAATTAATATTGCATGCATTTTGAGAAAGAAGAAGAATGCTGAAGTAATTTATCGGTCACATTACGTCATTACGACCAAAAGCGTGGGGTTGAAAGTGCAGAAGAAAAGTGTCGAGAAACCCAATGACAGATTGCCACGAATCGAATCCAGTTGAAGTTGAACACACAGTGATGGGATCTTGGGTAGGGACAGATGCGACGTTAGTGGGCCCCATCGTCACCTGTTTCCCGCAATCTTGCTTGTCCGTTTATTATAAGAATCGACCCCACCCGGAGTAATTCGGAATTTGTGTGCGGCTTTTAAAGATCCTTCCCCTTCGGCCTTCACCTTGTCTCTTCTATTACGCAAGCCTCTTCTTCAGACCTCAGGCTTGTGCTGCACGACACTTCATACAACTTTGAGGGTGTGGCGCGCAGCCGAGGCTACATGGGTTGGGCTATTGCTCTTCATGGCGGCGCCGGCGACATTCCTCTCTCCTTGCCGCCGGAACGCCGTCGGCCGCGTGAGGAAGCCCTCCGGCGCTGCCTTCAGATCGGCGTCGAAGCTCTCAAATCCAAAATGGCTCCCCTAGACGTGGTCGAGCTTGTGGTAAGATCCAGACCTCTTTCTCTCCCTCGTAATATTTTGCTCTAGCTTTGCTTACGAATGGTTCTGTTTTGATCATGACAGTGATATATCATGCCCCAAATGCATGTGCTTATAGTGTATTCTCAATAATTTTGATTCTCTATTAGGTTTCATTTCTAGTGGTCGTGTAAGCGAGAGGACTTCGTTTATCAACCTTTTAAGTCAGAATGACGTTGTCATAGATTACGCTCGATGCCTTTTGCTTTACAGTGATGCCTTAAAACACACTTGTGTCGTATGTTACTAGCTACCGGGAGAATTAGAATACGACCAGAGCTAAAAACTACGAGGAATGAGTCATTAGATTAAGAAAAGAACATATCATATCAACGAAGATGCGAAATTGGGACCACTCTCTCTGACTGGTCACTTGGAAGTAAGATAAATTGATTTTCTCTCGGCCTCCGTGAGTGTGTGAATTGAGAACCATTTCAAAGTCAATTTTATAACCAAGATTTTACAGATATTTAGACAATTCATGGGGAAAAAGGGGGAGATTCTGTGTTTCTGGGTTCTAATTGAGCGTTTGAATACTGCCTGAATGGTGCTGCAATCGAGTTTTTCATTGGATGAGTGTGACACTGTCCTCCATCCCATCTCTCTTTGTAGTATGCTCTGCTTCTAATTGTCTCTGTATAGGTTCGTGAATTAGAGAACTGTCCACATTTTAATGCGGGAAGGGGATCTGTGCTGACAAACAAAGGCACAATTGAAATGGAAGCTTCTATCATGGATGGCAATACCAAGAAATGTGGAGCTGTTTCGGGGCTCACTACGGTTGTCAATGCAATATCTTTAGCTCGATTGGTCATGGAGAAGACGCCTCATATATATCTAGCATTTGACGGAGCAGAGGAATTTGCTAAAGAACAAGTGAGTGCATGCTTTTATTAGATGATTTCTTTTGGTATGTATGTTTATTTCAGCCTCCATTTATTGATTTCATTCCCCCCCCCCCGGGGGAACGGATTGACTTCACCTTCTTAGGATTATACGCTGAATTTTTAACTGTTTCTGCTGGTTCCCTGCGAAATGGAGTAGCATTACTAACATATAATTAAAATGAATTCCGATTTCAGACAGCAACGTGTGGCAATGATTAACTTTGATTACGCAATTAAGAATTTCTGCAAGTGAAATTTTGTTTCCATCAATGCATCTCAGATAACTTGGTCCATTATGCCACGCATGTGCTGTTTGCACGCGGGACCAATTACGAGTTGATTTGAAATTTCAGACTGGGGACCTTCTATGCAATATTTTTCATATTTGCTGCACATCTTTTATCAGTTGAAAGCACAAACTAAATGTGCACGCCATGACCATGCAAGTATCTCCCTACTTAGAAATCTTGTTTTGACCATCGATGTTATAAGGAGAAGTTAGTTTTGCAGTAGGAATCTGGTCCTTCATCGAGCTCTACTGTTTTTTCTTTGATGCCTATCCAACTCTACTTTATACTCATGACTAGCATACAGACTGCAAAGGAGTTGTTCAAATGGTAAAACACGCTTGAAACCTTTGCACTTGAACCGAATGGTTGTTGAAAGACGCTTAAAACACTTGTGGAAGGTGTCAGCTACGACCCTCGGGCAATATCGGTCCCCCATCAAAAAGGTGTTGTCTCGTGAAAAACCAATAGAAAATCTAATCTTTGCTCCTCCTCCTCTCTCACTCGCCACTGGAACAGCATAACCATAAAAGTAGCCACCAAGAAAGACGCAGTAGAGTATTTTGATTCAAACTAAATAATCATGTTCTGCGTTTTATCTTCAAAGACATTCTGTTTTACAGGGTGTTGAGACTATCGATTCAAGCCACTTTATTACCGCGGAAAACATTGAAAGACTAAAGCAGGCACAGGAAGCAAATAGGGTTCAGGTATTCGGTTTTTGCCTGGTTCTGTGCATGAAGAGTAGGCTTATGCAGAGTATTGCTCAAAGCATGTGATATTTATGTTCCATCAATAATCTGAAATTATCTTGCCCTAAGATGTTAACATACTTTATGCTTCATAAATATGCAGGTCGATTATACACAACCCATCCAAAAAATTGATTCCAAGAAGGAAACACCAATTGCTAATGGTGATAGTCAACTAGGAACAGTTGGGTGCGTGGCTGTTGACAGTCAGGGGAATCTAGCTTCTGCAACATCAACTGGTGGACTAGTGAACAAAATGGTTGGTAGAATTGGCGACACGCCGGTCATCGGAGCGGGGACATATGCAAATGAGCTCTGTGCAGTTTCTGCCACAGGTAAAGGAGAATCAATAATACGTGGAACTGTTGCAAGAGATGTGGCAGCCCTGATGGAGTTCAAAGGCCTATCTCTTGAAGAAGCTGCTAGATGTGTTGTTGAGGAACGGACCCCAAAAGGCACTGTTGGCTTGGTTGCTGTGTCTGCAAAAGGAGAAATTTCCGTGTCTCATAACACTACTGGCATGTTCCGAGCATGTGCTTCTGAAGATGGCTATTCGGAGATTGCAATTTGGTCTTTTGGCCTGAATTGAGTGATCTGGAGGATTCTGTTTTGCTGGCTTAGAAAACCTGTATTTTTCATTACGTCTATCGTTATTTTGCAATAAGAGCATGTCGCCCAACTATAGGACTTGTTTGGAACAACTTATAAGTAGCTTTTTAATAGTGATTTATAAAATACGAGACAAATGTGTGAAAGGAGTTTTATCTCGACTTATGTGAAACATACTTATAAGGAATTTCTTAGGGCTTGTTTGGATCAACATTGCAAAAGTGTTTATAAGTACTTTCACACAAGTTGAGACAAAACTCTTCTCACATACTTATCTCATATTCCGTAAATCACGTTTAAAAAGTTACTTATAAGTCATTCTAAACAAGCCCTTAAACCCTCTCAAACAGGCACAAAATTGTTTTGTTGATCTGTGGGACCCGAATCTCAGTGCTCCAACAATAGTACTACTTTTGTTCCTTTTATTATACAAACAAGTGAGAAGCCTGAAATAGTGAAATAGACTCAGGATGTAGACACCAATTGGGATAAATTCGACCTCAATGAAACAAAACAAAAGATTATGAAACATCCTGGTTTGCTATGATTGACAAACATGAAAAAAATGACGAACTCGCCAAGGAAATAAATAAACCAGGGAAAGAAAATCTTTAGATCGATTGAAGGGTGATTACACTAAAGATATTTATGTATTCACACAAACATGATGAGATAATAAGAGGATGGGAGAAAAATGATTCGAAGTTGACTTGTTTTCTAAATTGTAATACAAGATAAGGATTAGAAAAACGACGGATGATAATAGCAACAAAAGAATCGACACAGAGTAAAAGAAAAATTCAAAATGACAGAAATGCTCAGAACAATAAATAATATTATAAGAACCTGTCACTTGAAAACTATCAGTTAAAGTATCTCTGACATGGTTGCGATATTTGAAAACCATCTGCCATGCCCCCCCCCCCAAAAAAAAAGGCCCTAGACTATCAGCTAATTGCTAAAGGAGAAATTCTTAGGCTAAAGTGCCAAGCAGGCCTCGACATTTTTGAGGTTGCAGAGAAACAAGTACGGACTCAGGTTTTGTATCATGCTACTTTTAATTTTTAATATAAGACTTAATTAACTAATTTGAAGAGATTAAGAAAATTAGTTAAATTAGTTATTTATTATAAATAAGTGTTATCTTTCCTAAAATACCCTTAATAATAATGTATATTAAGTAGAATTGTCATTTGATGAAACCTTTAATATGTACAACTACTACAAGGACTACTTTGAATAAAAATGAATAAATATGAAAGATAAAATAGATTGAAATCTTATATTTAAGATCAGATTGAAAATCAAATAGAACAAAGGTAGGATTATCACTCCTCCACAGAACCTTTTGGGATTGTTTTATTTTGATGTTATTTATTCCCTTCTAGGCTCTCTCCCTCTTCCTCCTCGTGAGTAAAATCCTTTCACCCTTTCTCTAATTGCATAAAATTTAGGAGCGGAATCCAGATACTCATAACGAAAATAGAAAATTGAAGTCAACTACACTTTGATATCAATTAAAAATTTGAGAACTCCCTAGTGCAAAAGTAAATATTGTCAAATCTGTGTTTTGGACTGAATCATCAAGCAAAACTTAGCCACTAGTTCATTGTAAAAAGACAGCATAATCAAAACACAATATCCAGAGACACTCTTCTTGTCTCAACATACGGGCCAATATATTCAATTACAAATGAAAAAATTGCATTACAATATGCAAAAAGAATGCAAATGAAAAAAGAAAAAAATCTGTTCAATTACATTACAATTTGAAAGGGCTGAAAAATTATAAGAATTACTACAGAATTCTACAGCTTGCAGAAGGGGAAGAAACTCCCCCTCAAAAAAAAAAAATCTCCCACGTCCTCTTCACCTAGCATTGAACTTTTTAGTATAGAAGCATCATTTTTCCTTCAGGATATTGTCACTATGACTGAAAAGGGGAAAAAAGGTAAAACAAGGGAACTTCTAGAGAAGTCAAGATCGTCTAATTCTGTCGCTACAGTAAGGCAGCTGTGTTTTTTAAGTGTAAAAAAAAATAATAATATTGAGATTGCTAAGTTCTTCGACAATCAAGTAGTGCATTTCAACCTGTGGCACAGTCTTGAAGATAAGGATGACTTTGATTTATGTACCGATCCCATAGTGGCTTGTATTTGCTGACAGCCAACTTCAGCCAAGGCTTCATGTTCCCATTAAAGTGAATAACTGCTGCACTTTCGATCAGGCGATTATCAATATTTACGTCATTCCCCAATCCTAAAACATGCCATCTCCTATCAAGTATCTCCGTCAGACCATAAAAACTTAGAAGACCAGGAGGCAGAGTACCCAGATTCCATAGTGACCCATCAGCATTCTGCTCTTGCCAATAGTGATATCTTGCAGTCACATCTGTTTTCCTCCAGGCAACCAAGTCAAAAACGTTCATACCAAAAGCCCACGCACATGCCTGAGGATCGTACTTTGAGCTTATAATTGAATTTGAGAAGTTGAGATACTTATAAAAACGATGAAATACTTCAAGACACGTTTCCACAGCACCATTCACATTTCCATGCAAATCCAACGAGAAAAGAAGGTCAGATCCTTCTGGACAACAACATCATCATCAAGAAATACAACCTTCTCAAGTTGTGGATAGATCTCAGGGATGTAAAACCGAAGATGATTTAGTAAAGACAGATACTTAGGATTGTGCAGTTTTGCTTCAACATCCAAATCCTTATACACCCCAAAATAAAAGGATCGTGAATCAGCGTTGAGGAGTTGCTTGACAATTGGAGAATAAGATTCATTCAACCAATGAAAATTCTCAAAATTCTGCACTTCTATGGTGGCCCCTTTAAAGTCGTTAATGAGGAACCATGTTTGCATTGCTCCATAATTAACTCCATTAGTAACAATGTGAAAGGCCAATTGTTTTGGATGGTCAGCATTTGAGACCGTGGAGTTCACAACAACAGAAGTAGCAAGCACATTATCTGAAAATATGCAAAAATGATATAAATTGTTGTCCGTTAGACGTGGGGAGCCTCTCTTCTCATCAGCAAGTTCATGCAAGGATGGCATTTTGACCCAATCTGCCATAAGTTTGATTTGTAGGCAATGAAGGCTCTTGGGTAGGCCTTCAGCAACTACTTGACTAAAAAAGTTCCCTTGGACTGTCGCTGAATGTGCTCGATCTTCAAGAAATTGGATACGTGATTTCATTGTCATTATTGTGGTTGCAACATCATAATGGATATCCTGTGCCTTAAAAATTAGAGAAGATAAGCTTTTTATAATTGGCTCTGCTTCCTCAAATGTGATGGGCTTTCCTGTCATGGCAGCTTTAGAAAGCAAGAGCTGACAACTTCTGATCTTTGAGCTAAGCTCCCAGGCTAGGTGAAGGTTATTGTGCTCTTTGGCAATTATCACATAAGCCTTGGCCAAAATCATTTGTTCTGCTAACTGCCGTGAAAATGAGGTTACGCTTGATATTTCTTCTGTAAAATTCAAACTGTCCTTATCAGCGGGTTCCATTATTTCATCTCTCTCCTGAAACTGCAGAGGAAAGTCACTTGCTTAGTGCCCACTGCCGGGATTGGTAAATAGAAAGCAATTAAGCAATATCATCTAAGTAGGAATAAGAGTCATCCAATCATTTGGACTACCAAACACGATTGTCAAGTCGATGTTCATGACAGAAGCATCAACAGCTACAGTTACATATGTCATAATGGAGCATAAAGATACATCAAATGTCTAAGATCCTCATCTTTCATTCAAAAACTATCTAGGCGACTTTTCACATCCATCTCAGAAGACATCACCATAGACCACCTCCCCTTAACCATTCCATAGAGAGTCAAGGGGCCCCAATCATGTTTACAATTTCATATCTGCTGCTTCAAATGACCAATCACTCAACTTTTATAATGCTATCAGGAAACCTCAACGTAAATGCCCTTTTTTATAACAGTTATACGTGATAGAAGAAAATCGGACTGATGAGCTCCATATTCATAAATAAACTTCCATAAGAGTACATAATCAAAGCAAAAAAAGATCCAGGGTGTTTTCTGCTTTTCTTTTAAATTTTCCTTTTCACATATCATGCATTGACAGAATCACAGAATAACTAAGCATATTTCAAAGAGCCAGTTCATGGTTTAAGAAGAATATCTTTTGCAATAAAACAAAAGATTGCACGATTAAAAGTTCATAAAAGTCAATGCAGCAGTTCAAAGACAGTACAAAGCAAAACACACTATGATGTCCATAATACAAGGATTCATCCAGCAAAAGGGAAGGGAAAAAAGTAATTTTTGAAATACATGTCCTATTCTCCCCCCCCCCCCCCCAAATAGCAACATGTCTTGAAGAAAAACCAAGTCAGCCTTGCGCCCAAAATTACATCACAGCGATAAGAAAATCCATCGGCACTAAAACTAGGCTTGGTTTAACAAGAGAAACTAACAAGAAGATATTGTTCCATCTTCTGATCAAATTTAAATTTGGCTTACATAGTATCCTCATATTCCATTGCAGTTGATCATATCAGTTGTGATCCAAACTTAAAACCGAAAACATCAATAATCAATAGCTACCTATGGTTCCTGAGACAAAGACCATAAGCACAGTTACATATTCCATACCGTCAAGATATATGAAGAAAAGCGAGGAGGAGGAGGAAGAAACAATGTGAGCTACTGACTATTTGCAGCGTCCACATAAGAAACTTATGGATACGTAGCGAAGGAGAATGCAAATGATTCAGATTCTTGATTACACTTGAACCACATTGAGAGCAAAAGAACTTATTACTTAAACGTATATACACTGCATTATAAAACAGAACAATACAGCAAAACAGCAGATAATAGCCAAAGTCGATTCTATCATTTCAGCAACGATCAGAATCTACTGATTTGCAATGCTGACATAACACGGAGTCCCAAATACGATCTAATAGTTAGGAGTTAATACATTTACCACTTAATAAACGATTCTGATTAATTAATCAATCAATTAATATAAAACTCAATTCATAGAAGTGTGTGTATGAATGATGTAAAGCCAAAACTACGAATCCAGTTCAAACAGCCTATGGTTCAGATATTTAAAAATGCTTTGTCTAATAACTAAATAACGTGCCCAATAAAAGAAACACTTACGCAGAAAAAGAAAACAAGAAACACACGGCTCCTCTGTTTTTCTTACCAGAAAGGGAAGCTCACCCCGATCTTCGTGGTGATTGTGTTGTACGACAAACAAAACAAAGCCTGCTAGACAGAACAAGCCAAGAAGCAACCAGATCCAATAAGAAAACCTCCGTCGAACCGGGCGCCGATAGTCGGCCGCCCGTCGTCGCATTTTTCACCGATTGCGTCCACAATTCACCACCGAATCAAGGTTCAGAAAGATCCATAATATGGATGGGATTGGTTTTACAAGCCACAAGAGAAGGAGAAAATGCTTTTTTGACAGCAATATTCACTCTACGCCCTTCTTGGCCTTCACGGCGCAGACCCTGTAATGATCCAGTTCATGCATTTTCTTGGGACTCAGAATTGAAGGAGCAAGAATCAGAAAAACAATTGGCTTTGTTTAGGAAAAGAGCAATGGGAATGCTGATCTGTTCATTTAGTGACAGTAAATCGAGTAGAGATTAAAGCCATTAAAAAAAAACGAAGAAAGAAAAAGAAAAATAAACTAACCACCGTTCTGTGCGAAAGCTCACTGCTGGAGCCAGGGGAACGGGGAAGTTGGCGCAGAAAGAATAAAATTATAGATTTTAAAAAAATTATGTATATCACCATCCCATTTTAAAAAAAAAAAAAATTATTGGGATGAAGTTAGCTGCTTTGGTTGGTCTAAAAGGGAAACGAATAGAATCAAGTGATAAATAAGAAAAGTAAATTATAAACCCGTTTTATACGTCAATCTGAATGAAAAGGGTAAAAAGGATGAGTCTAAAAAAAAAACACTGAAAAATTTATGTTTACATTTGGACAAATGCACGTTCTATCTATGTGATCGCTAAATTTTGTAAGTAAATATGAATGTCAACGACGCATTATTTGTAATTTTTTTGAATTTCAACTGATATAAACTACGTTCATTAATTTTTTTAATAAAATCGAAAATATTTAAATTTAACTCAACGTACAAAAATTCAAAGCACTTTGATTTATAGTTTTAGCAAATCATAAATCAAGTACTTATGCCTGAAATTAGATGGGTGACTAAAACTCATTTACATATATGGCCGGTGGCTTATGACACTAAAAATTAAATTTGGCTCATAGCGCATAAGATAAAATCATAACTTCAAAGAGCTTCACATTTCAGCATATGGACGGACTCAGTAATAACTAATAAATCAGCATCCTGCCCAGATGGACAGTGGTTAAAGTGAAGAGATAAGAGGTATCGTATGAAGAGTGATCGATTAGTCTCAGGTCGGCTTTTGCGTGCAGATCATGTTAGAATTTATGATCATCAATAAACAGTTGCGTGTAATTATTACATGCGGTCTGATGAATTCCCTGCTAATAATACTACAACAATATGAGAGGTCGCTGCTGTTTGTTGCAGATACAGAAACTGGAACGTGAAACTTAATTTGAAGTAGTAGTTTTAAGCCAAAAGCCAAAAATTTTTATGACGTTTAGTAGTGATCAAATAGCCTCCAAGCTTATTGTTCTTCTTCTTAACAGCGATGGTCATGCAGGAAGCATTCTGAATGCAATAATCAGCCACTGAAATGGGCGCAGCCGCCCTGTTGCAGGCCCACAGCCTCCGCCACAAGCCCCTCCATGGGGATCTCTTCCTCTGCCCTATCACCAACAGCGCCACTCTCTGTCGCTTTGCCTCCTCCACTATTGCTCTCCCCTCTTCCTCTCCTTCCGCCTTCACCACTCTCACTTGCACCTGCAACACCAACCTCACTATATATCCTCATCTCACTATATATCATCTCACTAACTCGAACCTAATTAACCAAAATATCCTAAGTCCTCTTTCAAACTTACCCCTGGCCTCTTCATCCGGCACATATTTTTCATATCAACCACGAGTTGGCAGGTCTTCAGACTAAGCCTCTCCTCACACTCTGTACCTGCAATCACAACACGTGTTATCAGTACTGCTTGATCCATGTTTGGAGTAGAAGAGAGACATGTGGAATGAGTTATAGTTGACCTTGTGAGGAGGGGTTGACTACGTGAAGAAGAAGAACCGTGTCCTGAGACTGCACGGCGTGAGAGAGAGCCCAATCCAGAGCACATTTAGCTTCAAAGCCGGAATTCAGAACCACCATTATCTTATTCCCATTCTCATCGATATCGCAACAGCTATCTTCCTGCTGGCTAACGTTTGGGAATTCGCTCGTGTCCCCATATTTGATAGAAGCGGAGGAGGATTTGGATCCAAACGATGACGCGGACAACACCCGCGCAACGCTCACACAGCTGAGCTTCAGCCTGAATCGCCTTCTGCCCATTCTCTTGAGTGAATATTATTCCTCACTTGCAGAGCTCTTGAGCCGTGTTAACTGACATATATATGCAGAAGAACAAGCAGAAGGAAGAAGAGGGAGGATGGAGGACGTTATATGTACGGAATCCTTGACTTTGAAACCATGAATGAACATGTTTCAACACACCAATTAATAGTTGGCTTGTTTGGATTATAGTATTTCTTCGTTGTGGGGCTGTCAGAGGACGTGCCAGCCACGAAGAATTTGGATGATAGACGACAAACACAGCAGAAATTCTCTTTAATGGTTCCACACGCCTGCAGGATTCTCTGCGGAAATTCATCTTTAGATTGGAGGAATCATGAGGATGGATGGACCTTCATGGCCAGGGTACATGAGGATTTTTCACTCTGATTGATTATATTGAAAGGACTGTCCCGGAGGGGTGAGAGTAAAGTCATCGGTCGTGTTCTTTCCAATATGTTATTTTGAAAGAAAGATGAAAAACCGTAATTGAATTAACTTAAAGCTGTGGTTTTAAATAATATAAATAAAAACCTGAAGGATATAAACTTGCTCTAAAAAGTAATTCGGTGGCAGAAATGATATGATTAGCAACAACGGAGGATGCTTGTGTTGCTGAATAGTATATAAAAAGTAGGTAGAATCATTAAACAATGTTGTTTAATTTAAAATGTTGAAGAACAATAAATAAATAAATAATGGTGATAAATGATAATGAAAAGTTAGTCTAAGAAGAGAGGAAAATTAAAGTAGAAGAGGGGGTGGATGGGATGTGAAAGTCAAACGGATCCCATACGTACGTGTCGGCACGGACGGGAAGGCTCCAACTTTAATGTGCCGCATGATGTTAATTAATTAATTAATTGTTGACTGTTATGAGAAAAACAATGGCAATAGTGGGAAGGATGTGCCCCGAGTAAAAAGGGGAGCGTGGAACACACGTTTGATGTCAGCTTGAATTGTTTCCGCAATTTTCCATACTACCTCCAATCCTTAATACTCATACTTAATACAAGATATTATTTAATTTTTATTTTAATTCTAAATATAAGACCCTAATGCACTTTGTTTCTCATATTTATATATTTTCCAAAATAATCCTTCTAACAATGGTAGTTCTAGATAACAAACTTGATTAGTAAGGATATTTTAGGAAAAACAACACATATTCCTTACAAATAACCAACTTAACTAAGTTTCTTAATCTCCCCAAATTAGTCAATTGGATCTTATAATTAGGACTGGAGGTAGTATATCAGTTTACTAATTTAAGTAAATTGAGAAAGTTTACTAAGTTAATTATTTATAATAAATAAGTGTTATCTTTCTTAAAATACCCTTGTTAATCATGTGTATTAGTTAGAACTATCATGTGATAAAATCTTGAATATGTGCAATTACTATAAGAATTACTTTAAAAAATAGATAAATATGAGAGATAAAATGAATTAGAATATTATATTTAAGATCAAATTAAATATCAAACTAACTCTTGTATTTAGGATCAAAAGTATTATGTTTCTTCAAATTGATCTATCATTCTATTGTCTGTCTGTTTATGCCGAGCCATGAATGCTCCCCCACCCTCTCTCTGACTTTCACCAGTGGATCCTCTAATATATAGACTATTGTCTTTAATAGATTTAGGGAAAATGGCAATTAGGTCCCACTCAAGGGAATTAAATACAAAAAGATCCTTTGAAATCATGAAATTATTTTAAATTCTCAAAATTTTTTTGCATTAAATTTTATTTGTTTACTTACCAAATTACCCTTTTTTTTTAAGTTTGCATTGACAACTGAAAGAGCAGTGGTTAACAACTCAGGGTGCAAGGATTGACAACTATCGCAGCTGATTTGACAACTTATGGTGTGATATGCTGAGAAAATATGTTGTCAAACTAGCCGCGATAGTTGTCAATTCTTGCACCCTGAGTTGTCAACCACTGCTTTTTGAGTTGTCAATACAAAGTAAAAAAAAAAAAAAGAAGGGTAATTTGGTAATTAAACAAATAAAATTTATTACTCCCTTGGGACTTCAGAATAATTTCATGATTTTAAGGGACCTTTTTGCATTTAATTCCCTTGACTGGGACCTAATTGCAATTCTCCCATAGATTTAGGTATCATATTTAAAATCAAAATAAACTTTTTATCTAATTCTGATATTTAGAAGTGGAGGCAGTATAATATAATCAATACTTTCATGTATTTTAATTATCATTAAATTAAGTTTTTCTCAATTTAAAATTATTTTAAATAAGTTGATCTTTTTAATAATTGACCTATCCCATCTACTTTTCATTCTTCTGATAGGCATTATATTTTCAAAAATGACACGTGCTAATGAATAAATAAAAAATAGAGTTATTTCTATATATATATACACGTTGTCATTTCATAATGTTATTTTATTTTGGGTTTATATTTATTTATTTATTTATTAGTGTTTTTTAAAGCAAAAATAAAACAAACTTGTCCGATGTCACCTTCTAGTGTTTTTTTTTTTTGGGCTAAAGTATAGGTATCTTCCTATTAGAGGCAATCTTATTTGAGGTATTGTCAGACACTAAATGAGGACACCTCTCCCAACAGTTATTCGAATTTTCATTTGTCACGTTGTGAGAAACTAACCCTTTCTACTAAACTCAAGTCTCGTTGGTTGTCAACTTCTAGTTTGAAAGCCCAGTCAGCAAGGTTGTGAGGGATGAGCAGCTCTTGGTCTATTAGACCCAAACACCCGAAACCCAAACAGAAAGAGAGAGAGCTAAGCCCGAGGGAGAGTCAGAGTGGGTCAAAACGACAAGTGAGCAGATGAAAGCGAGGGATGGAAATTGGGGAAGCCTGATTTCCTGCTGGTTTGAATTTAGTTTGAAAGACTTAAATTTAATTTTACTAGTTTTTGAATTGGAAGCTGAGAAATTTTCTATTCTTGCACATTAAGAATATAGAATGAAAGCAAATGCTTGTGTAATTACCACGCAAGGGACTGATCATAGATTGTAGTATGATTCTTTATCATTAATAGAATTTTGCATTAATCGTGCGCTAAGATTTGTCACTTACATCAAAACAGTTTGAAGCTATATTTTGGACGGACTCACCACAAACTTATATATGCTGTGATTAATTTTTTAATCACTCGATCTGAGACTATATCATGCATCTAACTCCAGCGACTGCCTGTTTTATTGTATACTCTTGTTCTAACAAATAATACAAGCACTTCATACCCACGCACACAAACTTTAACTTACACAATAGACGGTCACAGTTGCTAAAATGAGTCTGAGATATAATGCATAAAGGTTAAATCCCATGTGGTGGAGTTATACAGAAAAAGTGGGGGAGGAGGAGGGGGAGGGAAATGACCTTTATGCATAATAACAATAATCATAATCATAATCATAATGGGAGAAGGCTTGGGGGGAAGCCATGATTGAAATTAACAGGAGAAAGAGTGTGATCAATGAAAGCTGCAATAGAGGGACGTGTGAGAGTGCTGGGTTCTATTCATTGAGGGGGCGGAGCATCCAAGGAAGCAGCGCGTTATTTGGTCGAGGCTGATTCAGACTTCCTCCATAATCTACACCCTCACTTCTTGATCCCCTGCAATTCATCACACACACACACACATATATGTTTATATCATCTTCAATTAGAATCATCCATGCACTTTGTTCTTTCTTCAAATATACTTTGGAGACCAAGATAAATGTATGATAGATAGCTCGAATAATCATGTCTAGCAATCAGCAGTAGGTATGCATATGCATATGTAGTTTGGTCCATAAACGTAATTATAATTGATTAATTCCGTGTTATAAAAGTATCAGAATAACCTATATATAAGTGAGAATATAATTCATGCTAACCTCTCTTATTAAAACAAATAATAATAATAATAATAATAATGGAAACCTAGAATTATGTCTCTATATTTCTCATTGAAATAATTCTTATTTATTATTTACATGATGCACAAGTAACTAAAGAGAATCTATTTGACCAAACAAATTAAATAATAGCTTTAAAAAACCGAGGCTAAGATGAATTTTGTTAGAAGACGGCATAATATAACTATCTTCTGGACTCGTCGTAATAAAACTAGGGTTTGCACTATAGATATAAAGTTACCCATTATTGTAGCGCCAGAGACAAGATTTGGGGCGTTTTACTTACCCGATGATATTCAAAGGCAGCAATGGGTGTTGTGTTAACAGAACAGAGGAATCATCCGGCCCTTGTTTCTGCTGCTGCTCCACTGCCTTCTCTCTTTCCTTTATCTATATATATATATATATATATATATATATATTCACTCACCCGATTATATTCAGAAACCATTTATATGTAGCTGTAACTGACAAACGAAACAAAATTTTTACCTTCTTGGCCAGCACGTTGTTTTGTTCCTGCAGTGCCTTATCCTATAATGCAACAAGTAACAGATTCATAAAACATTACATGTTTGGGATATTTATAGGAAAGGAAGCGCATGAAGGTGAGAAAGGCTGACCCTTTTCTGAAGCTCTGAAATAGATTCGTTCATGAGCCGGTTCTGCAAGTGAAGCACTTGCGTGAATATATAATCACTTTGACATTCTGTTGATTTATCGAGTTATAGCAATGTGCCATGATTTTAATTTCATTACCATTCGTGATCGTATGTGTTTCAGAGCTGACTCCAGCTGATGCTCCAAATTCTGAAGCTCTTTCAGACTTAGGCCCTCCATATCTTCTCCCATGAAATGCCTGTGTCCGTTTCAGTCATTCAAAAACCCTTCAGAATCCGCACTAATCACACACTACCTCTTGTTTTTAATATAAAAGCTAGTTGACTAATTTGAGTAGATTAAGAAAGCCAGTTAAGTTAATTATTTGTAATAAATAGGTGTTATTTTTCCTAAAATATCCTTACTAATCAAGTATATTGGCTAGAACTATTATTATCACAAGGACTACCTTGAGAAAAAATGAATAAATATGAGATATAAAGAGAATTGAGGTCTTATATTTAGAACCAAAATAAAAGTTAAACGATGTCTTATATTAAAGACTAGAAGTAGTATATAATAAACCCAAGCAGAAGCAGTTCTCATAAGCATATATATATACCTTTGATTTCTTTGTAGGACCTCTATCCTCGCCTTCAACTTCGCATGTTGTAAAGTCCAGTTGTCCTAAGATAATAAGAAAATACACCTAGTTGGTTTTTCCATTTGAAGCGGAAAGTAATACAGGGTGTAATTATGAAGGATATATATATATATATATATATATATATAAAACACTCTAGGTCTTTTGATTAATCTGACGGAATGTAAAATCAACTTAGAAGAAATAGTAAGCTTCGTATTCTAATCCTAATGGGTTCACATAAAATTGGCCTCAACAGGTCAAAGTAAACTGTGTTTAAATTTAGGTTATGTACTAGTAACTTTCAAACTGTGAAAACATGACAGTGAATCCCCCTCGATCCCCGCAAAAGACTTGAGACATGCATGATTGATTTATATGAACAAAATTATTAGTAAAATTTTAAAGGATCATGTACTTTGGGACTTTTAATTTAAAACTTGAGACACGCATAGAAGAAATAGTGTCGTACATTGGATTCCAGATCACTTGCAGCAAGCTGCCTCTCTGAGTAGGAATGCCTCTCGTACCGTTCCAAAATTCTTTCCATACTGTTCACAACGTAAACCAAGCAGTGAACCAAGTTATATCCACACAGCATCCATCATACATGAAAAATCTACGTTCGACGAAACTACATTTGAAAATAGAAATAGCATATCATGGAGTATTTGTCCTACTATAACACCTTGTGCCCCTATATGCACGAAAGCATTTCACTGTCATTTCTCATTTTATTTACCTATGAGCAGTAGATGAAGTCAAACTAGCTACTATTTGCTTTTCACTTTCTATCTGCTTCTTTAATTAATTTGAGAAAAATATTAATCCAAGACCAAAATATGTCGAGTAAATTTTCATATGCTCCTCCTTTATCATGTTATCAAGTATTCTTTGTGGGTAACCTGGTAAGAGATTCTCAAGAATTCAATTTAAATACCCACATCTGCAAGACTGCATCTAAACAAAAAAACCAAAAAAAAAAAATCCATAATCATACAGTTGTTTGTATTACACTTCCATTTCTTGATGTAGTAAATAGATATCAGACAACATGTACGCCGCATATATAAGGATTTATCGATATCATTTCCAAATTTATGCAAAGAAAATGAAACAACTACTACACTATATTTATTCATAATTTGGTATTTCATTCATATTTAAAAACATGTTTTTTATTTGGTTATTGAGAATTAAGGTATTGATTATGGATTTAATATTTTAAGATTTGCCAATGGTTGATTTAGTCCGACTGAGTGGTTTTTGAAGGGCGCGCGGAAATGTCTAACAAGTTCAATATTTTCATGAAAAAGAAGCAATTAAGATAGTGTCGCAGACAGTTGGATTTTTATGGAGAGAGAGAATAGGGGATCTTCAACAGCAAAACAGTTGGATTCTTTATAGATAATTCAATAATAGAGTGCCGCTATGGTCCGCAGAAAAATCTAATGCAGATTAGTAACTATTCTAAGGAATAGGTGTTTGACAATACCCTCATGCAGTGGTTTTCTGATAAAGGAAACTGAAATTTCACAAATAAGCTTTTATGTGTTAGTCACAGTTCTGCTCTTTCCTGAGATTGGTGTCTGTCCACGATGAGACGAGAAGACAAAGTCACGTATACATGTTAACATGGGGGCGAGTGAGAAACACTATTTCTATATAAACAAGGCAAATTACTCCGTACACCCTCTTGAGATAATAACCCCACCCGCCGCCCCACAAAAGAAAAAACACACACCAACCCTTCTCTTTCCAAGGAACGACGACAAGGTCGTAGTAGGTTGTGCATCAAGTATATATCAATTAGTTAAATATTGAATTAAATAATGCAAGTGTGAGGGCGAAATAAAATAGTGCAATCTGTGAGAGCAGTGCATGTTGATGAATGAGCCAATCTTGTGGAAGGGTAATTAGCTAGTCACGGATGAATCCAGCAGTAGAGAAAGGGCAAAACAGAATAGTGAGCGGGTAAGGCAAATATATCTACGCAAAGAAAGAGAGAGAGAAAGATACATTAGTGGGAAGAGAGAATAATGGAGGGGGAGATAGGAATACCAGGGGTCGCTGGAGTAGTGGGAGAGCTTGCCTTTGGTGGAGAAGATGATGAGAGCAACCTCGGCATCGCAAAGCACAGAGATCTCTCTGGCTTTCTTGACGAGGCCGGACCTTCTCTTGCTGAAAGTCACCTGCCTGTTGATCTTGTTCTCTATCCTCTTCAGCTCCACTCTCCCCCGACCCATATTCTCTCTCTCTGTCTATCTCTTCTGGTTCTTGTTCGGTTCTCCAAGTGGCTTGGCCTTATATTGAGGAGTCGGGGATTCTTCTATATATGCTGTGTTCCGTGCCAAGACTACGAGGCGACTGTGAGAATCCAGGTTTACGGGTGATGCGAGTCAAGCGGAGTCGTCGATCGGCAAACAGGAATAAACTACTGACTTTTTTTTATGGGGTTGGGAAAAACAGGAGATTGGGATGAAAAAACAAAAAAAGGTATAGGAAGAAAGGAGGTGAGAGAACGGGAAAAGGTTCTGAAAAACCACAGTGGATTCATCTTACGTTGTCGACTTGGGATTGGACGACCTCACTGTTCAAAGGGATTTCATTGTTGTCTGGACCCCCCCGCTCCTCCTGCCCGTTCCTGTTTTCTTCCATTTTTTTCAAAAATATAAAATGATGTAAATGCAGATGCCTTTATATCTATAATACCAGGTCCAGTCTATGATATAAAAATTAGTTGGCTAAAGTAGGTGTTATGTTTTTTAAAATATTTTTACTAATTAAGTATCATTTGGTAAAATATTTAACATGTGCAACTATTATAAGAACTATCTTAGAAAAAATAGATAAATATGAAAGATAAAATATATTAGAATTTTATATTTAGAACCAATAAAAATCAAACTAGTTCTTGTAGTATTTATTACCCTGTTATTTAAATTTTATTATGAAAAAATATGACAAATAATTAATGCAAGCACATTTATTAGTAATAACTATACGGTAAACTGAAGGGAGTAGCGACTTTCCACAAATTAAGGACTGAAAAATTTAGTTAGAAGAATTAGTCGATATTTTTAAACTTTTCAAAATTACCTTTCAATGACTAATATGTGCTTTCTGGTTCATTTATTTACGTGCGATTTTAATAATTATTTTCTAATCTCTATTGAAGCATCTAGTAATGAGATGAAGATAACATGCATGGCATAATGCCCATTGACTATTAACGGAGAACTTGATAGTTAAGCTGAAATATGATCTTTAATTGTTATTTGTTGTTAACAAATTTTAATTTTAAATTCATGAGATGACATCTTTAAAAGAAACACCAGATTAGTTAATTTAGGGATACACATGAACCCGACTTCACTTTTGTTTGGTATCCTGTCCAACGTGCAATTAAGACTAGCCTAATGCTCAATTGTTTGGATTGAGTTTGGCCTTAAATTGTTGGCAAAAAAAGAGTTTGGCCTTACCTTAACATAAATTTAAAAAATATTTCCAAGAATTTGAAAATTTATTTTTTTAAAAAAATATAACTATGGTCATTTAAAATCAGTTGTTTATGAAAATAATAATAGAATCGAATATAATTATTTGTAAAAATATATATACTCAACAATCATCAATTATTTTTACATAAAATATAATTCAAGAATAATTTTAAAATTGTGAAGAGATTTAAAAAATGAAATGATGAGAAATGTCCTAAAGATGGTATGAATAAGATAATAAACGAATAATCTCAAGAAAAATAATCTCACAAAAAGTTTTTAAAAAAAGGACATATGTTCGAGTCAAGACAATATGATTTGACTCTTGTTTGGTTTTCAGTTTCAAATAGCCCGAATGAGTGAAGCACAATCAAACTTATTAAGATTTTCAGGTCACTTATCCAACCCCTGTTAATCCACAAACAGGTACAATATATATTTTTCAAATATTCTCATTTAATATTAATTAGTGAATTTAAGAATTGATCTCAACAAGAAGTATATTTTTTAAGAAAATAAAAAATTCTAATAAATACTCTGAACAATAAATTGTTACTCTATAATTTCTTACAAAAAGAAGGTCATGAGAAGCCTCCCAAAATTCTCAAGCAAAGGCAGTAAGTGAGTACGCGTTCCTATTTTTGATTCCAAAGTCCAGACGCTAACCGGTCCCCACTAAAATCTGGTGGACCCCATCCCATTTTTCCTGCTGAGCAGCACAGTCAGAAGCCCAGAATCTGTGTCCCTTACTCCCTTCCATGATATCAGCGACCAAGAAAATAAACTAAAATAAGAGTGTGAAGAAATTAGTTAAATTGATGTTATTCTGCATAAATTGTCTTTTTTAATCATATATATTATTGAATGATTAAAATTATCTCTTAGTAAAAATTTCTTACAATCACTAAGGATATTTAAAAAAAATAAAGACAAAATAAATTAAAATCTTATAGTTATTACCAAAATTTAATCCCAACTAACTCCCTGCAGTTACTATTTATCCTCCCCTTTGTTTATTTGGGACTGAATTAACGTTATATTATGGGGGCCAAAAAAATTAACTGTGATGTTATTGAAAAAGTATACCATATTCAATCGTGTATTTATAAATTTGCTTGGTACATTGCCCGCTCTTTATTGGACACGCGCCCCTTCTGGTGCCGATCATCTCAAAAAAGAAAACAAATTTGATTTTGTGTGCCTCCACTTAGGAATTTCAATTGATAAAAAAAAAGGGAATTTAAAAAGGATATTGATCAAAGGAATTTCAATTGATAGGGTTTTTTATGCTGAATTTGTGATTCAAATTAGTCTCAAGGGAAATTTTTCAATATTCTACAATGCTTGCAAAATTAAGTAAATGCAGAATCGGAGACTTTGTCCCATTTTCAGCAAAACAAGAAAGAAAGAAATTCTGATTCATATAAAAGAAAAAGGTTCATCTTAATTTCATAAAAACTATTCTGATCGAGGCTTGACAATATTCAAATTTAATCTAGCTAATAATATCGGATATGAAATAATGTGTCTAAAAGTTTGAAGAATAAAGAAAGAAGAAAAGTGGGAAATGAGGTCATAAATAATTGAATACGCTGCATCATCTCTTAATTGGTGACATAAAAGAAGATAAAAGCAATGACTCCGTTGCGTAATTGAAAGGGAGAATAATTTAAGCACTGCTGGTCTAAAAAAAAAAAAAGAATAATTTAAGCACTGAAAAATGGAACCTATGAGAAAAATAAAAGGTGATAAGATGGAGGAATGGACAGCGGCTAAGTAAGGTGTCACACATGACCACAAAATCAAGTGGACAAAAGAGAGTCACACACATACAATTTAAAAAAGTCATTGATGTGCTAGCTTCATCATTCTGCAAATTAAAATGCCCTCGCCTTAGATTGAAACCATGCTTCGCTCCTCTCATAGGCTGGGTCTCATGCCATTACCAAACAGCTATACATATATATAGAACGTGACACTATTTAGGTCTACTCTCTTATATTCATTAAGTTCTTCGGTCACACACAGCCATGTGTTATTATATTGTTGAAATATTAGCATTTAACATCATTTGATTATAAACTCATATTTTTTAAAAAAATCACGTGGCTATGTATAGTTAGAAAATTTGACATAATAAATATAAATAATTTGACTTAAATATTATACTCCTCCGGTCCTTAATATAAGACCCATTTAACTAATTTGATTAGATTAAGGAAGTTAGATAAGTTAGTTAATTATAAGAAAAGTGACACATTTTTACTAAAACACTATAATCATCTTTCTTAATACCTAATCTCCCTCTTCTACTTGATTATGGTTGAGAATATATCTATAGGGGTAATTTAGAGAAAATTAATAAATATGATAAATGGGTCTTATATTTAGGACCAAAACCAACTCTAGAATTGGATTCTATATTAAGGATCGGAGGAGTATATATATATAGTCTTTTTAGAATTGAATGAATAAGGACTAACAGTTTACAGGCGAAATTAAGCATATTACCTTCAGTTTACAAGTTTTTGAGATACCAAAAGGCCATTGGGGTGCGCGCACATATTACATCCGTTGAGTGACTGTAAATAAATAGTGAGTGTATTTATATTAGAAAAATTTTTATATCAAATTTGTTATATTCATCATGTCAGATTTTTCAATCACATATGATTATGTTCTATTTTTGAAATATCATTATTTAATAGTATTTAGTTATAGATTTACATAAAATTAATTATAGATTTACATTAAAAAAAAAAAGGACGCATAGTTATATATAACTGGAGAAGTTGAGATAATAGCCCTTGGTGATAGGAAATGAGTATATGTACGTTTATTTTGATATAACATTTGGAGGAGTTATTAATGAGGCTTGAAACCGAAACCGGGGCAAAACAGTCAACATACTCAACCAACTTGAACGCTGGCCGATATATTATATAGGAGTAATAGTAATCCTAATTTTTATTCTTAATATAAGCCCTTATTTGACTTTTAATTTGGTTCTAAATATAATATTCTAATCCATTTTATCTCTTATATTTATTCACTTTTTTTCAAGATAGTTTTTGTAGTAGTGTCACATATTAAATATTTCTTCAAATAACACTTGATTAGTAAGGGTATTTTAGATTAGAAAAAAGACAATACCTATTTATTACAAACAACTAATTTAACTAATTTTCTTAATTTACACAAATTAGTCAATTAACTCTTATATTAAAGACCAGATGTAGTATTTTTTACTATTGTTCTGCGTTGTGAACAGTGATCCATGAGGGGAGCTGAAAGTTTTAATCGTTTCTTCTTCATGCGTCTTCCCCAAAATAGTATATTCTTTCAGTTCTAAATATAAAACTCTTATACACACTAATATAAGGGTCTTATATTTGGGACCGGAGGAATAATATAGTATTTTATGTTGTATTGATTGAGCGACTTGAAATATATAGTAGTAACATTTATATAAATATTATAAGCGCGTGTGTATTTATATTACTCATGGACCTGCATGGTATAGAAAATGAGTATATGCACATTTTGATAATGTTGACACAGTCCATTTTAATCGTGTATTTTAATTATTAGATCAATAATTATTTTTTCCAAAAAAAAATTATTTCTTAAAGGAGTAATACTTATTGAGAGATTTAAGGGGCCCAAAAACATAATTGTTGAAGAAAATGCAGGACTAAAAGCTATGATATATACTACTCCGATCCTTAATATAAGACCTAATTGTTGAATTGATTTTGGTCCTAAATATAATACCTATTTTTATATTTATTATCTTTTTAATCATAATTGAGTAGAAAAGAGAGAGAAGATATTAAAAAAATGATTATAGTATTTTAGTTAAATAAGTTTTATGTCGAGAATACTATATTCTCCTATCACGGCGTATGATTATCCTGTCTGTATAGCACGAGTCGAACGGCTG